ATTATTTTATTTTGCAGAATATAAATGTAATTATTTAGTTACAAATTACAAATTTACTATTTTGAATAATTACCTACCACTTTTATAAAATAGATACAAAGATACATCATTGAATAAAAACAATAATAATAATAAAATAATAATAAAGTAATAAATAATAATAAATAATAATAAATAATAAAATAATAATAATAAATAATGATAAATAATAATAAAATAATAATAATAGGAGGAGAAATTTATTAAAATAATAATAATAATTATATCGTACGAACAGGAAATAAATATTACAGTTCTGCAGCAAATCAAATATTGCAAAACAATAATGCGCTAGATTTATTTGTAATTACAGAACGGTTACCCAAAAAAAGTAAAGATAAAGTTATCGAGAAGAATAAAAAGGGTAAAGGATAGTTTTTTTTTTTTGGTACAGTCAGTTTTTGCCCGTTCTCTTTTTATCTTTAAAAAAAAAGATATAAGAAACATAATAGAACATACTGTATATACACAGAATTACTACATGTACATACATACACAAACGCACATACTAACTCGATTTGGAATATTTGGAAATTTATTTCGTATAAGCCTAAAAATTAAGAAGATTATTTGGATGACAATTAATTTAATTTAAATTTAAATGAGCTAAAGATATATAAAATATATTTATTCTTTGGTATTTTGCTTTATCTCATAAATACAAACAAATAAAATAAAATAAAGACATATTATCTATTTCAAAATTGTTATTATTATTATATGTATATTATTATTATTATTATTATTATTATTATTATTATTATTATTATTAAAGTTCATTATCGTTCTTCTCGTTCGTTCGTTAGTTCGTCAAGTTCTTTAAAGAGATTTTTATTGGCGCAGTTGGACCAAATTTTAGGTTTTATAGAACCAGTTATAAATATATTATAGTTTTAATTTGCATGAAATAAAAATAATTTATATAAAATAGTTTTGCAATATTTACAAATAAACACTCTTTTCTTAAACCTAAATTTTTAGGTTAGTTTATCATTAAAAAAATTTTGTACCAATCTTAGATTATTGTGACATTGAGTATATATATAGTTAAGATGTAAGACAATATAAAGTTAAAATTTTGTTAATGCGTAATATATAGTGAAAATATTGTTAATATATTTAATATATATAATATTATATTTTGCTGTTAAATATTGTTAATATATTTATTTATACATATTTGTATATTTATATTTGTATATCACTTGTCAAATTATCTACTTTTAATAATGTAAATGCTGAATAACATTAATTTAAAAAAACATTTTTCATTCGTAAAGATTCAAATAAATACTGATAAATATTCATAAATATTCATAAATATTTATAAAATATATTGAAAGAAGAAAAAAAAACAAATGATCCAGTGACGCACAAACCCCAAAGAATAACTGATCAACGTCGGCGAATATGTCGAGCGTATAAATATATAGAATAAATGAGCATATTTTTATAGATATTTGTATGACTAATATTTTATATACATAATTTTTTAGCATAAAGAAAACGAAGAATACATAATAAAACATAAACACATCCAAACATTCTCTCTAAACATTCTTTAATTAATTTACTACTTATTATTTTATTTATCCCTGGCGTTAAAAAAGAAAATCAAGAAAAGAAAAAATAAATAAAAAAAATAAAACCAGCTCAATTAAAATAATGGTTTGTTGGTTAGTAATAAATCTAATATTAAATAATAAAGTGTAATAAAGATGTTGCATCAATCAACAAGCGAAAACCATAATTACCAGCATATTATATATATATATATTTACCCACGAAAACATTAGTAACACAAAAAAACATTATTCTTTACTTATTATAAGATTTATTCTATTTCTTTATGGTAGAATAATTAAATAACAAAAAAAATTGTATTAACCCTTTCACTTTTAATAATAATAATAATAATAATAATAATAATGTGACCCTGGCTGTGTTATTATGATTTTCCTACATAGTCTTTGTTGTTTCTCTCCTTTTTAATAATTTAATACTACCGTTACTATACTATTTATTATCTTTCCTATCATTAATCCTATTGCTTGCTTTCTATTACTCCGCATCATTTGATACCTATTAAGGGGTTGAATACTCCTTTTATTTTTATTTTTATTTTGGTATTATTATTATTTTATGTAGGTCGCGTATTGAAATCACCTAAAACAAATCTTTTAATTTTGATGTTTCGCGTAGAATTATTTATTTTTTTTTTAAAAAAAAAAAAATCTTTATATATAGTTGTGCTTACATGAACTAAATAAAAATAAATATGTATTTCGACAAAGAAGAATTATCTCTTTAATTTCATTATAATACAAAACAAAGAGCTTTCGTGATACTCCAAATAATAATAATAACAACGAGGAATACAAACACTTAACAGGTTAATAACTTTTTTTGTTAAAGATTGCTTTGTTGTGGTTTGCTGGTGCCCTGTTCACGAATTATAGAAGTTATTTTATTTTTTATTTAATTTTTTTTTTTTTTAAAACGCCAATTATTTTATTTTATTTTATTTTTTTTTATCAATTTTATTTTATAAGGTTTATTTTATCAGTTTATTTTAACATTTTTAGATTTATACTTCTTTTGCCTTCTTTTTACCTGCAAACCTTATTCACGACTTTATTATTTACCCTAATTTACGCACACATTTTTTTTATTCCTGTTTCATTATGTTTCATTATTTCCTTCGTGGTAATCATCGTGACACTCAATGACTTTGATGTGTGCGCAAAAAAAAAAAAAGAATGCATTCATTAAATCTGTTAAATTTATTAAATTTATTATATTGATTATTATTTATTACATTTTTGTTATATTTTTTATTATCTTTTTTTGTTATACCTTTTTTTTGTATTATATTCATTTATGAGATTTACATCTTTCCAATTTTTTTTTTTACATCTTTTAATCATCTTTACACATTTTATTATACGTGACCAAATAATTATAAATAATAATAAAAAAAATATTTTTTGTGATTAATTTACGGCATTGATAAAGTTTTAAAAAAAAAAAGATTTGTTGTGTAATTTTAGTTTTATACACACAACAATAAACTATATGCCATATTACATTACATTAAACTTTATATTTATATACCTTGAAAATTTATTGAATAGTTTATATTAATGATTGATTGTAAAGTTGTAAATATTTTTTTATTGTTATTATTGTTATTTTAACCAGCCAACCAACCAACAACTATCGGCGGTACCCTTTCTTTAACTTTCCCAATTTAGAAAATGAGCTTCTTTTCCCCATTTTTTTTTATTAGACAGAACAGACATCAAAAAAGCATACAAAAGCAAGCAGGCGGTTTAAGATTAAATTTTGCGCATTTAATTTATTTTTTGTGAAATAAATAAAAAATTTTGAATAAAAAAAAAAAAAGGTTTATAAAGTTTTTATCCCACCTTTACTAATTTTTACTATCGAATTATTGTTGTTGTTACTTTACTAATAATGTAATATACTTAATATAACTTATTATACTTTACTTATTATAATAATATTTATATTATTATTATTGTTATTATTATTATTATAGCCTTCATTAATATTTATTTTATATAATTCATTATAAGTTACTATTATATAAATTATTATTGTAATTTATAATGATTAGTATAAATTTCAATAATAAATTTCAATAATAAATTTCAATAATTTAAGCCTTATTCTTAGATGTTGACATTATTTCTTAAATTATCTTGGGAATGAGTAAAATAAAAAAAAAAGTTAGTTTTTACTGATTTGTTTTGCTGATTTGTTTACAGTTTATATAATTAATTATATATATATTTTTTTTTATATGTAAATAAAATAAACTTTAATAAAGTATAATAAACTATAATGAGCTATATATTTTTTTTTATATATACAAATAAAATAAACTTTAATAAAGTATAATAAACTATATAAATTATAATAAGAAGTTTATGATGAATAAAATTATTTATAAACTTTATAATATAAAAAAAAAATTCTTTAATATAAAAATTTTATTACTTAATATAGTTTAAATATTGTATGATAATAGTATAATCGAAGTTGGTGCACCAAAATATATAGTCAATGCAACCATCTCACTGGTTAAAAAAAATAAATTATAATAAAAACTGTAAATAAAAAAAAATTATTTTTTATTAGTGTAACAATTTATTAAAGTATTATAATATATTTTTCTCATCTTAATTTATTTAACTTTTTTTCAAAAAAAAAAATATTTATACCTTGACACTTTGCCATTCCGTTTTTTTTTTATCAACCAAATAACGAAAAAATCTTCATTTTTTTCTGTTTGACGTTTATTATTATAATAATTTATTTTTGTATATTCTGTGAAAGAAGATTATTACTTCTCTTCCTCAATATACTCTACTCACACATATATATATAAAGTCTCCTCTACAACCATTATTCACGTTTTAAAAAAAATCTTCATTATTTGAAGTTCACGTTATCATTCCAGAAAAAAAAAGGGATATATATACTCATATACCCCTTAAAATTAAGTTCATCTTTACTTTCTTCTATCGAACAGAAGAAATTTTACAACCGCGATTCAAAATAATTCTCTATTTTGAAGAAAAAAACAACTTATATTCGACTCTTTCGATAGTAACTTCTTTAATGAAAATTTTATAATAACCGAGAGAGAACAACAAACAACAAAAACGAGATAAAACTCAACTTTTTTTAACGACTCTTGTAAAACGTTTAGTAATAATTTAATCGATTATTAAACTATATAAAATTATTATCAATAGTTTTAATTTAGTTTTTTCTATTCTAACGCGAACTTCAATTTATTTTGTAAATATATTATTTTTTTTTTGTACAAACCGATTTTTATTTTTTTTTAGTAAAAAAAGTTTACTACAAAAAAACCATTACTTTATATCATTTTTTTTTAAAAAAAAATTTTTTTCTTAATATAAACAAAAATGGAAAATCCATCTATTACCTTTACTGCTTCTCAATCTGTTGACTATCTTGGTCAAACTCATAATTGGACCGACACTGATACCGTCTATTCTTATAAGGGTATTTGCCAAGAACTTAAAGAATGTCAAGAAAAAATTCGTAAATACGAAGGAAATGAAAAAAAAGCGAACAAGAGTTCTGACAAAAATCAATTGTCCTTGCAACAAAAAAGTACCAAAGAACAAAATACTCGCAGGCATCATCATCATCAACAAGGACAAGGTCAGCAACAACAACAACAGCGTAATAATAATAGTAACAATAATAATAGTAATAACAATGATAATAATAAAAAAATCATTGGCGGTATTAGTAAACAACTTCAACAACAAAAACAAGAATCTGCTTTACGCGCTGAAGAGAAACGTTTGATTCGTATGAAAAATGCCCTTTGGAGACGTATGGGTCCGGCTGTTGGTTGTGTAGGGAAAGGAAACAAACTGGTTTCTCCTAGAACTTTGAAATGGTAAGAGAATTTTATTTTAAAAAAAAAATAAAAAGTATTTTTAAATATTTTTGGGGATTTCTGATTGATTGTACTTGGATACACAAATTTGTGTTTGGGCTGAAACAATTTTTTGGGGAATGAGAGAAATGAGAAAAACTTGGGAAAAACCTGTCAATTTTTGTTATTGTATCCTTTATCAGGATTTGGATAGATTTGTGTCACCTGTCACAAATGACTACATTCCCCGTTGATCACCAAATAACTTTGATTGATCACACGGACATTTTTTCGGGTTATTCAAAATTCTTTTTTTTTTTTAATTTTTCATTTATATTTTATTATATTTTTTTTTTTGGAGGGAGAGGGTTGAGTTCTTTGTTGTTGTTGCAGTTTCCAATCTTCCCCCTTTTATGGTTTCTTTGTTTACCTGTAGTGTAATTAGGTGGTGATACATTTATACATCCATTCCTCATTCATTTATATATATATAAATAATTATTATATACATAATTATGTAATTATTTTTATAACGATGATGCACGTCTTTTATAAATAGTTTTTTATCGAAATCCCCAAACAAATAAGCGCTATTACATTCTCTATTATCCTTTTTTTGTCAAACAAACAAACAAACAAAAACCACTAACATCAATTCATTCTTATTATTATATATTACTATTAATAGGCAAAAGGAATGCGATATCCTTTGGTTATTTGGTCCTCTGTATCAACCAGACAACGACCCATTCATGGATGATGATGACGATAAAACTTTAGTTGGTAGTCCACCTGCTACCTGTTGTCCAAATTCTCCAAGTTTTGGTCCAATATCTGACCATTTTGATGTTTCATCTGGTGTTAGTACACCTTCTGGTTCTCCACCAAGTTACATCAAACCTGCTCTCAAGAAACCTGTTGAATATGACCCATTAAAAGATCTTATTTCTTATGCTTGTGAAATGTTATTGGATTCTACCAATACAAATGGTGGTAAAAAAATTCGACGTCACTCAAACGCCAATCCAATGGAAGTAAAACAAAAGAAAAAATCCATTAGGTTCTCACGTAATTTGGAAGAAGTTCATTATACACCAACTCATTATACTATGCGGCCTTCTCCACCACCTAATCCTATTCCTGCACGAAGAAGGATGAGTAACCCATTTTTCTGTAAAGCAGAAGAAGAAAATATGTATTACAATGGATTAGGAATTAACAAATCAGCTGATGGTTGTTACGAACAAATGATTGCCAAGGCAAAAGAACAAGTCAAATATACAGGAAAAATGAGTTTACCATTTGCAAAAGATGGATCATGGATTGGTGGAAATTTACCTGATGATGAGGATGACGAATTTGTGATGCCACCTGTTCCTCAATTGGTTAGATCTGCGCCAAGACCAATTTCAAGATCTAAGTCACGCGGAATGCCACAACGTAGATCTGCAAATACTATGCCACCGACTCATACAGCAGCGTTCTCCCGTAAGTTGGTGTCACCTTCGAATATAGCTATTGGTACGCCACGAAACGCCATTCAGTTTAAACATGTAACCAATAAAAATTTTGACGATCATGAAACAGGAGAATCAGGAGTTGTGGAACGATGTGTAAATATTGCATCCAATGTAAAAGATGTTGTGACTTGGTGCAGTTCCATGTTATGGAACTCAACTGTGTTCTAAAAATTTCCATCATAATGAGAAATAGGAAAGAAAAAGGAATAAATAGCCCTCAAATTTTCTTTTCCTTCAAAATCTAACCAAAAGGTCCTCATCGGCCTTTTCAAAATACCCTTTGAACATTTATTTAATTTATTTATTATTATTATATATTTAATAACTGAACAATTATTTTTTATTTATTATTTTTTAATGGGTATAGTTGTAATGGACAATTATCAACTTAGTTTCTTTTCCTTTTATCATATAGTTAATAATGAACTATATGTATATTCCTTCGAATTATTGTAGCTTTACATTTATTCTTTCTTAGTTATGATGACTTTTACCTTTCGTTGGCAAAAATTATTATTATTATTTGCCACGAACAACAACTCATAGTATATATTTCATACACACAATTTTGGTATATATCGACTTTCAAAATGAAATATAAAAACGGTCGACTCCCTGTACCTTAAACTTCACAAAAAAAAAAATATAATATATACTGCTCCTTAGGGTATAAGCGAAACAACTTTAAAGTTGTTACAGCTCTATGCTAAAACCCTTCATCTCAAAAAAAAAACTCACGGTATATTAATGAACCAATATACCTCCCTTCATGTTCCCTTTATTTTTCATTTTTCCATAGTTACCTTTTAAAAAGTGTTTGTGTTTGTGCTTTACCTATTACGAAGTTTTAATTCGAAATCAATATTCCACGCAACGACTGCGTGCGAAAGTGTTTTACGTTTTTTTTTTTGTCAATTCCCAGTTTTATTATTTTAATTTATTTTTAAAAAAAAAAAAATTTACAACGATATATTTTTATATCTTGTCAAATAACTTCCATTCAACACCGCATTTTTGCAATATTATTTATTTAATTTGCAAAAAAAAAAAAAAAAAAAATAACAACAAACCTCCCCCTCACTTTTCATCGAACAAATGAAAAGTTCACCTCACAAAAATTAAGAATATCACCTATTACTCCTCTCTTATGGTCGTATTAACTTAGAATCGAATAATGAGTAATGCGAAATATTTTGAAAAAGGTTCTCACGCATGTTTACGCACACACGCACAAGACTGTGTTCTTACTTTGAACCAATACGTCTCCACGCTTAACAAGTGGAAAGTTACACTCCCTAAAGTCTTTGAATACTATTGAAGCTGGTCACTGCCATTGGACGTTTCCTAAGGATTAATATCTGCAGGTCACTGCCACCAACGGTCTACGCCTAAGTATCATTGGAATATTTTATATTGTATTCAAGATGAATATTGTTTATTTTATATATTCATAAAAACAAAAAAATATTATTATATTATTAGTCCTTTATAATTATATTATATTATATATTATTAGCCCTTTATTATATATTACCCTTTATATTATTATATACACAAAAATACTTTATATAATATTTCGTACTGATATGATGAAGCTATACAGCCCGGCATACAGTGCAAATATATATATTTTCCTACGAAGAAACGAACTGGCACACGGAGCTAGGTTTCTTAGGTTTTTTGCAGCATGTCTCTTTGCACTTTTTACTTTGTGAAGACATTTTGTTTTTTTGTTTAACCCCGTTTATGTGTGGATGTGGGTCAATTTTGTTTGTGAACTTATTTTGAAAGATTTCAATTTACCTTTATTTAATTCTTCGTTTTTATTGTATCGTAAGCGAAGGCAGAACAAGTTCACTTTTCGACTTAATTATGAAAAATTTAATAACATCAACAACAAAATTATGTTTCATTCCGTTTATTCAATCTTCTCAATGATACTTTTTGAAAAAGTATTATTAATTATGTTAAAAATTTAATTTATTTCACCAATCATCAAATCTATAGCATTTTTACCTTTAACGACACTTAATACTTTATTATTATTAATTTCCAAAATTCGAAATTTTTTTTGTTTGTGTTTGTGATTCCTCAAATTTTATTCATTCATCCGTTCATACTTCGAAATTTTTTTGTTTGTGTTTGTGATTTTCTATTATATCCAATTCATCCATCATCATTTGTAAATTTTAATTTTTATGCCCTAATTTTTTCTATATACTGTCTACTAGTTTGCCATTCGCCAAGTCTTTTTTTTTTTTTTTTTTTAACTATAATGCTTTAAAAAAAAAAAATTAACGACATTTCAATTTCACGAATTATCTTTACGTTTATTTTTTATCGTACTGTTCACGAATTGTGCCTATATTCAGATTTTGCCACTTTTGTTTGTCATATTCAGATTTTGCCAATTTTTATTTTTTGTTCCTCTTTTAAAAAAAAAAAAAAAAAAAAAAAAAAATATTCAGATTTTGCCAATTTTTTTGTTCCTCTATCAAATTTTGCCAATTTGATTTTTTCGGTTCCCCTTTCAGATTTTGCCAATTTTTTTTTCGGATCTATATTCAGATTTTGCCAATTTATTCAGATTTTGCCAATTTTTTTTTTCTTTACGTTAATAATTATTCAGATTTTGCCAATTTTTTGTTTGTCATCGTTTGCCAATTATTTGCCACCTTTCATATATTTTTGTTTGCCAATCTTTATTTATTTTTTATTTTTTTATTTTTTTTTAACTCTATTATTAAATATTATTTTTTTTTTATTTTGTATATTTATTTATATTTATTATTTTTTTTCGAAAAGTCTCAAATAAAGAACGAAAACCAGATTTTTGCCAGAGAAAAATTTCATGTTTAACAAGTGTTTACCAAATTAATAATGTGTTAATATGTATAATTATGAAAAATAAATAAATTATTTAATTGCAATGATTACAATGATCACACAATGGTCACAATGATCAAAATCGCGAAGAAACTAATAATTACAATCGCGAAGATACCAATAATCAAAATCACAAAGACACTAATAATAATAATAATTTTTTTGTGCTTATTACACGTGACCTAGCATACGAAAATTTATCCAACTGACACTACACTGACCCACTATCTATTCTAAAAAAAGTAAGAATATTCTCGTAAAAAAAAAACACCAATCAAAATAACAAAATAAACAAAATAATTTATCCAAAATAATAAAAAAAAATATGTACGATAAAAAAAATGATCATACATAAACATAAGTCAACTAAATAAAGCGTCAATAAATGCGCCAAATTTGAACGCGCCATGCACGAAAGACATTATATGCAGCTAATTTAATACGCATTTGATCATATTTATTCATAATTAATACGCATTTATTCATATTTGAACATTTAATTCTTTGTAAATTTCCTAATGTTTATAATAAATTGGTTATAATTGGTGCGCAAACCATTACACATAATGCATCAATGCATCAATGCATCATTTTTTCTTTATTTCAATACGTATATATATATATATACATATGTATATGCGTGAGATACCGCTTATTATAAAAATAGATACAAACATTAAGTAATTCATTATTACATTAAAGTGGTCATTATAGGAGAAGGAGTTTTTAATGACAACAAAAGAAAATAAATTTGTAATAAAAATAACCTAAAAAAGTATTCATGTAAAGTGTGTGGCTTGTGTAGAAAAGTTGATAGAATGATGAATAAGAAAATAAAAAAAGGAAGTAAAAAAAAAAAATTAATGAATGAATAGAGTAAAATAATAATAATAATATTTTTGGACATCTCCGATAATAAAATAAAAACAAAAAAAAAAAGCGAAACATGCTATGACCAATTAATATTATTATTAGAATTATTAGGGAAATGTCAAACGAACGAACGACAAAAGGATAAGCAAACATAAACAAAGAGTTAACGCAACTAATCGACCAATAGGAAAAAGACATTTGGTACTTTTTAGGTTTTTTGTGTTTTGTAAATACAACAAAAGATTATTTTTATCATAATATGAATTTTTTTTGTCATTGTGCATTTTTTTTTTAATCAACATTAATAAATTTTAATATATTATTATTTACAAATTATTTATGGAACATCCCCATCCAACCTCCATTTATACATCATATTTCCGTTTATCCGATGCAATAAATAAAAATGTAATTATAAATGTAATCAATAAACGTAATCATAAATGTATATAAAAAATTGAATCATAATAAATTATAAATGAATAAATAAATAAATAAATAATAAATAAATAAATAAATAAATATAAATTTAGATAAAATGAATAAAAAAAGTAATAAAGTCTAGATAAAATAATGATGATAATGGTTTAACTGGTCTATTTGATTATATTTGATTATCCTTGTCAATTTGTTATACTTTATTGTTTTTATACTTCATTACTTTATTACTTTATTATTTATTATAATTTATTATTTTTTATATTACTATTATACTTTATTATAATATATGCATATATTATTAATCCATAAATAGATTGAACTTTATTAAAGTTCATTATAAAGTTTATTAAAGTTAATCTTTCTTTTAACTGATTTTTAATTATGACCATTTTAACCATTATTATATTATTATTGGGGGAATAACGGGAAATAATCTATAACCTTATGCTTTGTTATGATTTGTTAATATTTTGTCGTTGTGCGATGGTGAGAAAAATATTTTTTTTATTTACCGCCAAAATAATTCATTTCCGATAATGATGACAATAGTGATAATGACAATAGTGATTATAACAATACTGAATTGATATTAATAGTAATAATTTATAGTGATATGAAATTCTAAAGAAAGAAACTAATCTATATGTAATTTTTATTTTTGATAAAAAATTTGAAATAATAACAAAGGAAAATAGTTTTTTTATGAATCACTTTTTGGATAGTTTCAAGATAGAAAAAAAGATTTTTTCTAAAGAACATGTTATTCACACTTTATTACATATTTTAACATGTTTTAACATATTATTTTTAAACATTTTTTTAAAACATTTTTCTTCTTTTCAAATATTTTTACATTTTATTACATATTATTTACACGATACTGTCTACAAATTTGTTTATCAATATGTCCTTTATAGGAATTATTTTAGGAATTATTTAGAACAAAGGGGTTTCATCTTGCATGAATGAACGAAACAAATATATAAAACTTTTAAAGAAGATAAACGCCTCAACGAACTCATCCACGACGCCATTTACTAAAAACTATATAAAAAATATTTGATGCAAATATTAACAACACCTGTATGAGGCATGCCATACTGTGTATGAGGCACTGTATAAACAAATTCTGTATAAGTTTCTGTAAAAGTACTGTATAAGCATTAATGTGTATGTGGGGTATCATCAAAAATTTCGTGGGGTAAAATTCAAAAGCGGGAAAATTCGCCATAGGATTTACAGTTATTGCGTATTGAGGCTTTTTGATGTTTTGATACTTTTTAATTCATAACATCGTTGACATCATTGACAATGAACAATTTGTGGCTATTATGGCTAGTAAAAAAAAAATCATAAAAGTCATATGATATACAGATGAGAATAATATCATGTGATTAACGTTTCAGCGATCATTTATTATTTCATATGTTTCATGAGAATTTCACGAGTGAGTCAAGTTAACCGAAATTACCAACATAAAGGGAACATAAAGAGAATAGTATTATAAGGATAAGGACATAAGGGACAAAGAAAAAGCCTGTATAATTCTGTATAATTTGTATTAATGATATCTTGTGCTTTCTTTTTTAGAGGTCATGCAACATCTTTTTAAAATAAAAGCCAAATCACCAAAATAATAATTCAAGTTTGAATTCTTGTATTCTATTTTTCTTGTTATTTCTTTACAAACTATTAAAACTAACTGTTAATTACTAACTATTATTATTATATTAAAAAAAAATTAAATATTAGGAATGATAAATATTAATAAAAATTATTACTAAATGCTAAATGAAAAAAAAATTAATGATAAAATAATAATAAATATTAATAATAATAATAAATAATTTGTTGTACCAAAAGATAACGTAGCGGGCAAACAGGAAAGATTATAAAGTTACAATAAGGTTATGACTCCTGCTTGATGATAAGACGCATCTACAAAAAAACATTTGCGCCACTAAAAAAAAAAATTATCTGATGATGGTTTTTGTTATCTTATCAGTTTTTTTCTGTAATTTTTCTGTCAAACAAACAAAAGATTACTCCTTTATTTTATAATACAAATAAGCTCAATACAATAATTATTTTAATTACTGACTTTGTAATTTTCATGGTCAGTGCGAATTATAATAAAAAAATCATTCTGATAATAAGTTAAATATTTTAAAAATTTTTTTTCTTATATTTTTTTTTTTTTACAATACACACAACATATACTGTACATTAAATATTTAAAAAATTTCATCTTTAACACAAATGATATCATCGAAATATTTCGTTGGAATTTTTAAAATATTTACCCAATCTAAATTCAAAAAGGAAGAAAGAGATCAATTAATAATAATTTTATTATTATAAATATATTAAATTATTCAATAAAAACAATAAAAGGCAATAAGAAGCAATAAAACCACGTTCGAAAATTTTGTTAATATATCATTCCTATTACGGGAAAGATCAAAACTTAATCTCTGTTATGCTTATTTTTTTATTTTACTCAAAGGAATTTATTTAAATAATAAATAATAATGTACAATTATATAATAGAACAAAGTAAAATTAAAGTTAATTTTAAAAAAAATAAAGCTTTATACGCTGTTTTCTGAGTTTATTCTTGACCTTGGATAAATGTTCCCACCTTAAAGTAAGGTTCTCGTTCCCATCATCTGGTGGGAAAAAAAAAATTCACTTTCAGGAACTTCATCAAAGTAAACAACTAGTTCGATAGATCCCAAGTTTGTTACGTATTAAAGTTTTTATTAATTAAAAATAAAAATAATTTGGATCAGAAAAAAACTTTAAAATTAAATATGGAGAAGATCGATTTAACTAGTGACATGTTCATGTGTAAAAATATTTTTCATCTTTTATTTTTATTAACCATATTTATCATCTACTCACATGAAATTTTGATCGATATATTAACACAAAAATTTTTAATTTTTTTAAAATTCAAATCTTTAAAAATTTATAGAAGTTAAAATATAAATCTTTAAATTTTAAAATATAATATAGTAATATTGATTTAATAAAATCATAAATTGGTTAAAGTCTTGGTGACGATTATGAAAGTTCTAATGAAATTATTTTTCTGTTCTTTAATGGAGTTTAACAATTAAATTGAAGACTTCCAGTACATGCGGGGCACACAGGTTGAATGACAAAAAACCAATTTTTTTTTTTGGTAAGCATTGAAGAAACAAATTTCATACTGAACTAACTGATAATTAAAATCACCTGAACTGATCTATATTTGCTGGCATTTTATTGGTTCAAATTTTTTAGATCAGATCGAAGGGAAATAATTTTTTTTTTCTTATCATTTAATTTCTTATTGAATTAATTTTTAGAATTAATTTTTAGAATTAATTTTCTTATTGAATTAATTTTTAGAATTAACGTTAAATTTTTAATAAAATGTATAAAAATGAATCCAGTGAATCTAGTGAATTCAGTGATGATAAAAATGAATCCAGTGAATTTAGTGAATCTAGTGATGATGAAAATAAAATAGCCAAATTAAATTCTTTTATAAGTTCTTTAGACACAAAAAGAAAACGAAATAATGATAATTCTTTGGAAAATCATAAAAAAAAACGAATCCAAGAAAGAACTGAAGCATATGAAGAATCAGAATATAATTTAATCACGAGAGAGTCTGGTTCTTCCAAAAAAAAAGTTGATTATCAAGATTTGTTAGAGACAATACAAGAAGAAACTGGATTTAGTGGATTAAAACAAAAATTGGCTTCACTTGAAAGTGGAGGAAATAAAGGAAGTTATAAACAACCATTACCAGCACCTTTACCTAAAAGAATTCAAGATAAATTAAATAGACAAGCTGCTTATGAAGAAACAAAAAAAGATATTAATAAATGGGAACCAATTGTTATTCAAAATCGGGAAGCTGAACATTTGAAATTTCCGATGAATCCTGTTCCTCATTATCAACCTACTAATAATACATTGACAGGAAATTTTCAACCTTCAACTAATCTTGAGAAAGAGGTTGATGCAGCATTAATAGAAAGTGGAGCCAAAGAAAAAGAGATTCAAAAATTTGAAGAACTTCAATTAAGTAAATTATCAGTTGAAGAAATAATGGCTCGTCAGAAAGAACTTCGTCGAATGCGCGAATTAATGTTTCGAGAAGAAATAAAAGCTAAACGAATTGCAAAAATTAAAAGTAAAACATATAGAAAGATTAAGAGAAAGGAAAGAGAAAAGAATAAATTAAGTGTTGAACAATTTGGTGATAAAGAAACCATTAAAGAAGAACAGATGAAATTAGAGTCAGCACGAGCACAAGAACGTATGTCATTAAGACATAAGAATACTAGTAAATGGGCTAAACAAACTCTTAAATATGGAGCAAATGATAAATCAAGTCAACACGCTATAGCTGAACAATTAAAGAAACATGAAGAATTAAAACGTAAAATTCATGATCTTAATTCAGACGAAGATTCAGATTACGAGTCATCATCATCATTATTATCAAATGATGGTGGTGATCAAAAAGAAGATAAAGATATGATAAATTCTGTTAAAGAAAAAGTATTTGATGAATTAGCAAGTCTTGAAATGAAAACACTTGAAGAAGAAAAAGTAATACCTAAAGGAATTTTGGGAATGAAATTTATGCGAGATGCTATGGAAAATGGGCGAAAAATGAATAAAGGTTTAATAGATGATTTCGTTGAAGATTTAGAAAATGAAAATTTTAGTGGCAGTGATATTGATAATCAAGAAAAACAAAAAATTAAAGATAATAATAATAATAATAATAATAATAATCAAATTATTAATGGAAGAATGAAAATTGGAGTTAAGGTAATAAAATTTTAAATTTAAACATATTATTTAAAATATACAATTTTTTTTTTATTTTATTTTGTAAAATAATTTAAATAATTTAAATAATTTAAATAATTTCAATAATTCTAGAAAAAATCAAATATTGATAATTCAAATAATTTGGATGATTCGGATAATTTGGATAATTTGTTAATTGAGAAAAGATCAGTTATTGAGGTTATTGAGGTTATTAACTCTGTTAACTCTAATACAAAAAAGGATGACAAGAAAGATTTACAGTCTGAACAAAAAAATAATGATGAGTCATTATCTCAACAAAATAAAAATAATTCAAACGATAACGAAGAAAATCCCTGGCTTCAAACTGATACTGCAGTTACTTCCAAAATATTAAATCATAAAAATAATAAACGAATTAAATCATTAGGAGAAAACAAATCTGATAAATTAATTTCGAAAACAAAGAAACATCAATTGAAAAATCAAATAAAAGAGGACATTGTTGAAATTGATGTGAATAAAACTTTCACCTTTATTACTCCTGCTATTACTACTACTACTCAAATAGTGGATAATCAAGATAAAAACAAGGAATCTAAAAAGAAGGAAAAGAAGAAAAAGAAAAATGTAACATTCAACAACAACATCAACCACACCACTAAAATTGATGAAAATTTAAGTGATTCCAATGATGAGAATGATGAAGCAATTAAGAATTTTGTGCATATAAAGAATTCTACTGCATTTTCACATCGAGAATTAGTTGCTCGAGCATTTGCGAATGATAATGTTGTTGATGTATGTACTCTTTTTTTTTAAAAAAATAAATAAATAAATAAATATATATATATATTATAAATAAAATATTCGTGTATAAGAATATTCATATAAATTATTCATTTTTTTTTTACAGGAATTTGTAGCAGAAAAACAGGAAATAATCCAAGAAGATGAACCTAAAGAAAAAGATGTTACGTTACCTGGATGGGTGAGTACATATTAGTATATATTTAATGATAATAATGAATATAAATAATAATAAAATATAATCATTTAGGGATCATGGATTGGTAAAGGTGTGAAACAATCTAAACAAAGGAAAAAAGTTGTTATCAAACCGCTGCCTGGAGAAGGTATAGAAGCCAAAAAACGTCAAGATGCAAAATTGGAACATGTAATAATTAACGAGAAACGAATCAAAAAGGTAATTTTCATCCACACATATATTTCTTTTTTTATATATATTCATCTTATATAACTTATATCTTGTGCTTATATATATACACAAATATCTTCTTCTTTAGGCAAAGAAATATTTATCAACAGATATTCCTCATCCATTCGAAACTAAAGAGCAATATGAACGTAGTTTAAGAACTCCAATAGGAAATGAATGGAATACACGTGAAGTATTCCAAAAAATAATTACACCAAGGGTTATTACCAAAATGGGATGCGTTATTGATCCATTAAATGTTCCTTTTCAGACAACAAATGATGATGTTGATAATAATGAGGATTAATTTTATAGATTCAATTATTATATTTATTATATTTCTTATTTTTTTTTTGTTGTATTTATTTCATTGATTTTATTGACTTATTATTTTAATTTGTTTTAAAAAATATTTAGAATTATCTACAAATAAATAAAAATAATAATATTTTTTGTATAAAACAAGCGATTATGTGTTATGTAATAAATATAATAAAAAATTGATTATCGTGATCACAATACAAGAAAATAATCTGATCATCAAAATCGAATATAAAACGCGTACTATTGTAACGGAATTTTGGATCCAACGTTTCCTAAAGTTAAATAATTGATTTCTTTTTACTAAATCCACGCGTCTCTTTTGTTGTTGCTCTCTTGGACAGCTTGATATCGCCTTAGACAGATTGGATGCTGGAAGTATGACCCAATGATATATATAATTATATGATCTGTTGGTTCGGTTAATTAATTAGATATCTTTTTGATGATAATAATCAGAATTTTTTATTTTAATAAAATAGAGATTTTCTAAAATTATAATAGGTAACGACCACAAAGTACAGAAACATAATTTTCTTAACTAACAAATTCTATGAAAAAAAAAACTAATGTATGTAGATATAATAAAACAATTATGAAAATAATAATCTTCATCGTCTTGAAATATCATTAATAGGTGCAGCTCGAATTTCCGAAAGATCTATTGATTCATCGCGTGCTTGATCAAGTTCTCCAATTAATACTCTTCAACAACAACAACAAAATATTTTGACGCGTTAAATTCATATTTTGCAGATTAGGAAAAAAGATTAATATATTATTAATTGAGAATATGATTTTAATAATCTTTTATTAATTAAATTTTGAAAGTGATAAAAATAATTTACTCACATGTTATCACCTCTTATTATATATAATCCAAGATTCATTCTTTCTACTCCTTCTGTTTCGGAATATATTCGTTCATGACAATTAGAGAGAATCACATTTATCGTTTGATCAAATCCTTTTAATAATCCCTTATTAATTTAATATATAATTTTTATTTATTTATTATTTATTATTTAAAAATAATTCATTAAATATAGAAATTTAAATCAAATAATAAAAAAAAAATAAATAAAATTTACCACTATGACACGTCCATCAGAAGTAATGATTTCTACTGTTACTATAATATTCACGTAAAAAATTCATTTTTTTTTTTGTCACAAACAAAGCTAAGGAATATTCACAATACTATATAAATATGATAGTATATGATAATAGAATAACAAAATATATAATAAATAGGATACAATCTACGTATTTTTGCAATTCTGCCATATATTTTTTTTTATTTATATATCAGTCACTAGACATGACATGTCCCCCGTCGATCATGGCAAATTTTTAAATAGTAAAATTTTAGTGTTTGTCACGTGATAATATCTAATACTTGATATGTAAGTTATAAAAGAAAAGTTGTGAATATTACTAATTCAATATTTTTTTTGATATTCCAATGTTTGGTTCTGAATGGCTAATAACAAAAGTTCAGAACAGAAATAACAACCTAATGTTACCTATTAACAATAATTCATTAATCCCTAATGAAGAACACGAAAATTATTATAAAAAGTAATTATAATTTTGTAAATAAATTTTATAATTTTGTAAATAAATTTTATTAGTTGATCCAAAAATTAATAAAGTGTATTCACAATTTGGATTTTGAATTTAATTTTTGTATAGTTTATTTATATAAAAATTTTTATGTAGAACCGCGAGTTGTGCGGTAATTTTTGATTGCCTTTTATTATCAATAGAATGATTTTCATCGTTTTCTTTTCTTCTTCAGGAGATCCATTTGGTAATATTATTTAATAATTAACATAATTAATAATTAATCTAAAAAAAATTAATACTGACCTAAATTAAATTTATATTTTAGTAAAGAATCATATATGTAAATCGTGAGCGAAGTCAAAATTTTCAAAAATATACACCTTATAAATATTCCTCAGCCGAAACCTTGAATGATCGGTAACTTAGAAAATTTATATTTTACATCACTTTTCTTTCAATAAAAAAAGATTAAATCTTAAATCTGTCAAGAATTCATGATTAGCATAGCTCCAGGACCTTTTATATAACTGCCATCTTTGTATCAAACAACTATTAGTAAATTTCAAAAATGATGTTATATGTTGACCTTTTTTGCTGAGTGTTTGGTGACTTTTCATTTCAATAAAATTCGTTTACCAATTTGGACTCCCTGTAAGAAACAAGTTGTATACAATTCGTTCCTGTGTTAATTGTCAATTCTTAAAGAATGTATTTCTCATTCTCAATACTAGTCCATAGTTTATCTACAATATTGTCTTCTTTGCGTTGATTTTTCTCTCAACAAATGACAAAAAAAAAATGAGTAAAAATGATATTAGTTCAATGCAATATATAAAAAAAATTTTTTTTTTTGCATTACTAGAAATAATGCCTAGAGAACTAGAGAACCATAACAATCTAAAAGATCTGTCAGAGGACAAGCTAAAAGCATCACACCTCCTAGTTATGGAAGTCGCAACCACAATACGATCTAAAAGATCATCAGAAGGACGACTAAAAGTTGTATCTTCCTTGTTGTGGACAACCGCAATTATCTAAAAGATTATTACGGAGGACAATTCAATATAGAGACGAATACAATACTTGCCTCTAAAAGTTTTTCAGCTTTCTCAACTCTTGTGACATTTTGAACTGCTATTAACGGCCAATTTGTAAATAGACTAATTTTACTATCGCTTTTATCAAAATATGAGTGCCAGTCCAAAATGTTATACTTTTTATAGAACGCGTCGCGTGCATCTAGGGTTATGTTACACGAACCTATAGAATTTTCCCTTTTTAACGGTCAAATGATATTAATGCATAATTGATTTTTTTTGCACCGTTTAATTATTTGAATTTTGAAATGCAGATATTATATACACAAAACAACATTTTAGCAACTCTAGATTAGGTTTTTGGTAAGAAGTGTTCACCGCAATAATGCATATCGCGATTATTGTATTTTAGTAAGTAAGATAAATTCTTTTTTTCTTAATAAGGAATGCTATGATGTTTAAATAATTATGATTTAATGAGTTTGAAGGAGCCTAGACATCTCCATAATGTAACAATTTTTTTATCTGATGCAAAAAAAAAGAGAAAAGAGAAAATGTAAAAAAAAACTATTATTATGAGCAAAGAGATTAAATTATCTTTATAATTTTTTAGGCCAATTGGAATAATCCGATAATAAAAAATAGATTTCTATCATTTGGGAATATATTTAACATATTTATATATATATCTTAATTTATTTTTCTATTATACATGAACAAATTTAATGAACAAAAATGGATAATTTAAATAAATAAAAAAAATTATAATTTACAAAAAATAATAATTAAATAATTTAAATAAATATTTGATATAATATTTGATATAATATTTTTTTTTTTATAAAAAGAATGCATTTCTATGAAAATTTTAACTTTTGGAACTTAATGTTGCGCGTTGATTGTTCATAGAAGGACTATGCAGTTGTTTATCTATTATGGCTTCAATTTCTTTCAATACACGTTCTTTTCGCTCTTCAGGTGGATCAGCATCTTGATCATTTAAACGATATGATTGTAACTTTTCAATTCTTTTGAGAACAGTATTCATGAACATGTTCTTTTCTTTATCAAGTGTAAGTTGATATCTTTGTAATTCATAAGCAGGATTAATTGAATTTTTAGCCAATTCATTGGTTAACCTTGTTAAATCTTGAATAAGGAGTTGTTCAGGTGGATACCAATCCTTTTTATCAAATTGAAATGGATAAAAAAAAAATTAATGGAAAAATTTGAAAATTAATTCACCAATCTTTTATATTGAATAAAAATAAAAATATACCTGATTTGTCAATCGATTTTTCTCTAAACGTTCGATTACCCCGTTTAATTTCGCAACTTCAATATGACGAGCCTGACGGGGACTTAGTTCTACACGTTGATCTACAAAACTTCTTTCTGCTGCCTTACTAATTTGATCAACAAGATGGTTTAATGTCTGATATTTAATAATTGTTGAAGATTCTGCGCGTTGCTCCTCTAATCGACCTCGAGATAATTTTTGAATTGCAGTTGATAAAGCTGCAGCAGTTAATTCTCTTTTTTGTCGAGAATTAAGTTCTACTCGTTGATTGTTAAGTTGAGGTACGACATCATAAACACGATCTATCGCCGATATTACATTTTCTAGATCTCGCTGTGTTTTCTCGTTAACTACCCTTATATTCAAAGAAGAATATTTGGGCGGATCAATGCTTGTTACTTCTTCATTTTCTTTAAAGCTATAAAATTCATTAGAATAACTTGGAGGAGGATCCATATTCGATCGATCCCTGCATAGACTTGCAACTATTTCCATTAAACGATCAATTTCATTCCATGTTGCAAGACGTTCATCTGCTACATTCTTTTGCAAACTTAAGGTTGCACTTCGATCTTGCAAATTTGTAACTTCTTTGTGTAATGTGTTGTATATATCTTTATCGTTTGAAACATTAGACAAAATCACATTTGCATTGTACGAATTCGTAGATGTTCCGGATTTTGTTTCAGGATCTGTTTCAGAATTTGGTTCAGAATTTTTAGGTTCACATAACTCCAAAATTCTATATAAATAACCAAGCAAAGCGGCTAAAGTACATGCCAAACTATAATCATCATTAGGTATAAAAGGACTGTTAGAATCCAGTTGATGTCGAATATTGTTAATTGTAATAATGTCAGGTGAAGATAGACGCCTTGGTTCTATTTGTTCCATTTCACTATTGATACCTAATTTTGTTGCATTATGAGCAATATCTGCTAATAATTGTGATCTTGTTCTATTTGTACTACCTGAACTAGTTGAGAGAGGTGCATGACTAAAAGAATAACGTCTTCTTGATGTATCATTTCTTAAATTATTTGTTGTTGAATGTTGTAATGTTAAAGCAGAAGTTTGATCAGATACAATTTGATGTAAAAGACTATCTAGTGCAAAGAGCGCTACATGTTTAACGGCAATTAAAGATTCGATAACATCCTTCATAAATATATAAATTATGCAAATTAATACAACATATTTTTAATCGAAAAGATTTTTTTTTTTTTTTTTAAAAAAAAAAAAGAAATTTGGTTTACTTGTGAGACAAGAGCATTATTGATCTCTTCTTTTCCATCGACTGAGGACTCCAAATTATCGTTCGATTTTATAGATAAATCGTTTGATTCGATACTATGATTGATCTCAACATTTCCTCCTTCAGTTAAATTAGACGTTGGTTCTAAACCCAATTCAAGTTCGGAGAAACTTTCGTTTAGTAACAAATCAAGAATATGAGGATTACTCTCTCCTAGTGAAGGTAGTGTTGATGGTTCAGCATTGTCAGAATCTTCCATAAAATTTGTTAGACGATCTACATTTATAGACATAGATCTCTATCAGAGATAAAATGTAAATTGAAGGTGTAAAGTTTTTTTTTTTTTTTTCCTTTAAAAACTATACATTAAATGACATTATGCGAAATATACCCGTTTTGATTTTGAACGATGTTTCGATAATTCAGCTGTGGCCATTTTGAACGGTTACGATTTTTCCAATAAGCAAAGAGTAAAGTTCAACAATAGATAATATTAAATATTAAAGTAATAATAAAATAGTATTTAAAAAATAATATTTGCAGTATAAATATTGAAAGTTGGTCCTACATTAGTTCAAATTTAGTATATAAAAATTTTCATTCTGTTTCTATACAGGGAAAATTTTCCAGAACACCGCGGAATTTTCTTAATCACGTGCAACAAGGAATAATATGATTTGATTTATTAATTTATAATGAAACGCGATTTACATTATTAAAAATCAAATTAAAAGTTACACATGTCATCCAATTTTGGTAAGATCATGCATACGGTTGGTACTTCCACCAGTGTACATGTAATAAAAATATTAAAAATATTAAATATTAAAATATTTGAAGATTATTCAATTATTCATTTTCTGGTTTCCAATATTTCGAAGTTCCATCAACACTTGATGATATCATTGCATCTAAACGAGAATTATATGCAACACACGTGACAACTCCAGAATGTGCGGATAATTGTTTTAACACGTTTCCCTATGAAAAATATACAAAAATTCTAATAAATCTATTTATATATTTATAACCTTAGAAAATATTTCATGACTTACTTCCAATAAATCCCACATGTAAATCATTCCGTCTTCAGATCCACTAATTACGTGCGCATCATTATTTGATAAACAAGATCGAATCTTGTATGTTGAATTCTTATGACCTTTAAAACTATCGGAAATAAAATAACATTTAAAAAATGATATGACAAAGAAATGATGCTTCATTTTTAGAAATCTTACGAATTTAAAAGTCCTCCATTTTCTCTATCCATCAATCTGACAGTATCATCTAAACTACTGGTAAGTATACAATTAGTATCATTAGACACAGAAACAGAAGTTACAGGATCTGAAAAATAATAATAAAGTTTAATTAATTTAAAGATTTTGTTTTTTTTTTTAAAAAAAATAAAAAAAAGGTAATAATAAATAATTGATCAACAAACTAACTTAACTTACATGAAATTAAATCTGTCACAAGAACTCCCATTCTAATATCATGTGTTCTTATATTGCCATCCGTACTTCCTGATACAATTTCATATTGCGTTAACTGTAAAGATGTTACACTATCTTTTGGTTCTTCAAGGATTTGAATAGGAAAGCGTGAATTGGATCTGAATAAATGAATAATCAAAAAAGTGTTGATGAAAAAAAATTTTACTAATGAAATAAATATTTTATTTAAAAAGGATTTTATTAAATCAAACTCTACCTACAATCCCATAATCGTATAGTCGTATCATAAGAACCTTAAAAAAAATAAAATAAAATATAAATAAAAATATTATGTAATTCATCAAATATATATTAATAGATATATTAATAGATATACTAAAAGATATATTGATAGATATATTAATAAATATATTAATAGATATATTAATAGATATATACCAGTTGCAAGTATTGTCCCCTCCCAATTAAAGTCTATAGTATTCACACGCTACATTGAACCAAATTAAAGATTTATTGAACAAATAATTTATTAATAATTTTTAGATCAATAATTTATTAGTTTAAAAATTTTACATGATGATGTCCTTCAAAACGACGAATTGTTCTTCCAGTCACAACATCCCAATAGAAAACCTGTCGATCTCCTCCACAAGACGCGAAACGTGAGTGGTCCCGAGTACTTCAAAAATAATATAATATATATTTTAAGATATTATTTTCAAAATAATAATCAAGGTAATATTTTTTTTCAAATATAACTTACACACTGATATCCAAAACTTCTTTTCCATGTCCCACATATGTCTTGATACATAACCCAGATTCTGGATTCCATAAACGAATTGTTTTATCTTGTCCACCACTTAGAACATATTCGCCACTTGAATTGAATCGCGCAATGTGAACTGGCCCTTCGTGCATAGAAAAGGTTCTGATACATTGCGTTGGTAGACCCTTTATAGGTGTAGTTGACATAAAAAAACTATTTCGTAATTTTCAATTTATTCGGTCTTCAATTTGTTTTAACATTTTCTCGATAACGTGACGCAACTAATTTTTATCATTGATTCGATAGGGTTGTTCCGATCGATAGTCGGATCAGAAAATCAAGTGATCAGGTAAAGTGTTCATTGTGTTCATATTCCCGTTAAACGCAGTTAAAGTAAATTCAATTCGATTGATTGTTACACCACTTTCCATCCTATATAAAGTCTTACTGACCTCTGTAAACAAATCGTAATCTCTAATTTTTACAATCGATCAAGAGGGCGGTAATCCCACAATCCCACCGCTTCTAATAGGAAAATCGATTTTGCAATTGGGAAACAAACCGAGAACTCGTCTGTCCTTATTAATTATTTTTTTGAGAAGTCTTGAATCTAATTTCATCATTCCCCTTGCTCATGGACGAGAACAAGTCTCAACCTCTCCATGTTACAGGAATACTTGTATATCGTATACAGAAACAAATTGAATTTTTATTGTTAAACGATACTTTTTCTCATAAAAAACATTGGACATCTCCTAAGGGAGTAGTAATTCGTCAAGAAGACGAAAAAAAGTGAGTTTTGTAAGCTAATTTTTTTTTATTGTCCTTAAATAAATGAAATAAATGTTATAAACCTTCATTTTTCCAGTTTAATTTCTTTGTTCAAAGATTGAACGCGTTCTATTTTAGATTATTTAAGATTATTTCACGCGATTATTAAAAAATCTACATCAATGCTTTTCTTTTCTATTAATTAGATGCGCTCTTCGTAATACACTTGAAATTACTGGTCTTTCCGTTAACGATTTAAGAATTGAAGACGATTTTAAAGTTGAAATTACCTATCTTTCGGGAACCCGGTAAATATTTAAGTTTTATTACATAATTTGAAGAAATGTATGTATACTTATTGTATACAATTTTTAGACCTAAGAGAGTTGTTTACTACCTTGCTCAAGCTTCAGACTATGCACGAGTATATACTAGTGGAGAAGGCCTCAATTTTGCGTGGTTGTCTCTTAATGTCGCCACGGAAAAGGCCATTTATAAAAGTATGCAAGAAGTCATCAAAAAGGCTTACTCTTACATTGCCAAAAAGAAACCACCAAAAAATTCCGATCCCCCACAAAGACCCCGCATTGAAAAAAATCAAATCAATAGCGACAGGCTAGACTCCAGGATGAAAGTTTTAAACCTTGCTTTACCCTTAGATTCGCAGCGTGCAGCAATTTCTCGCCAGAGACTTGAGCTTGTTCGCGAGCGTCAGCAACATAATCGTCCAGAAAAGAACGGGAATGGCTTTTCGTCACCTCTTCACTCACCTGTGATGCCATTTGAAAATCCACTTTATAAAACGCGTCTTTGTGAGCGTTTCGAAACCGAAGGTTTTTGTCCATATGGACCAAAATGCACCTTTGCTCATGGTACTGTTGAACTCAGGGAGAGACCAGCTGGTGAAGAGAAAATCGATGCCCCACTTACTGCAAAAGATGGTCCAGATAATCCTCTATATAAAACACGTTTATGCGAACGTTTTATGAAGGAAAATTTCTGTCAGTATGGACCAAAATGTAATTTTGCTCACGGTGAGGAAGAATTAAGGGAAAGACCTAATGCCGGCCGAGAGAATCTTGAGAGTGATAGCCCTGAACCACATCCCCCGACTAACAAATATCAACATCCTCATTATCGACAAAATAACCCTAGTGAAAATGATACAGAAAAGAAAGTGCACCCGTCGAATACTGGCATTATCGGAGGGTGGCGATCAGAACGATCGGAAATTCATAATGGAATATTTGGTCGTATTTCCATTTTATCAGGTTCAGATTCAAATTCAAATCATGCGATGACTAGTAGGTAGGTAATATGATAAACTATTCACATTTTTATCATTTCTATCACTTCTATCAGTTTCTATTCTTTCTATCATTTCTATCATTTCTATCATTTTTATTATTTCAATTATTTTTATTATTTCAATTATTTTCAATTATTTTCTATTATTTTTATTATTTCTCTCGTTTATTATTTTATATGTAAATATGATATAAATATATGTATGCATCTTAATATCTTTTTTTTAAGAAGAAGTCAATTTAGTTCAAATTCGTTTCTAATATGTCAAATGAAGGCATAGGTTGTTATTGTTGAATACCTATTATATGATACAATGATAGGCATAACAAGCCTCTCAAATGTTAATATTTTAATATACTTTTTTAAGACTATTTGTCGTTCCATCCAATATGTCGTCTTTAGTCCTTCCCAAATAGAAGAAACTCAAATCGAAACAGATAATAATAAACCTTTAGAATACAAGAACTTGGAACCTGATTCTGAAGAAAAAGGAATGAATGAGGAACGTAAATTGACGGAAGAAACAGAACGAGATATGAATTTTAATCATAAAGAACAAGATGAAGAATCAAAAGAAAATTCATCCTCACCACATTTATCTGCCAAAAACATTAGTGGTAAACGTCGTGTTGGAAAAGATATAATCGGAGACGAAAGAGTAAATAATTCATGCATAGTTTAATTATAATTATATTTTATATCAAATAGATTACATAGAGATTAATTCATAATTTTCTTTCTTTTTTTTTTTTTTTTTAATTCAACAGCCTTGGATGCAGGTGGTTGAACTTTCCAATGTCGAACGTGAACAGCTTGGAAAAATGTATAAAAATTTCAACCTTAGTATATTCAATAATATTAGTTTTTATTTGTGTTTATATATCATTTATATTTAATATTAGTAAAAAGACAGACCATCAATCTCCCGGCGATAAACGTCCACATGATGAAGCTTTCATTTCTGATCTTAAACGAGTTTTTTCTCAGAATAAATCAATTACGGAAGAAATTAAAGAGATTACACTTATCGAAACTAGGAAAGATTTGTCTAAATCACAATTATTTAATATATTGATTCCAAGTTTGTATGATGAAGCGACGTGGGATGTAATTAGCAAAGATCTTGTGAAAAGGGAAAAATTATTTAAAACGGTAATATGAAAAATTTTTTAATATGATGTCCTTTTATTAACAAAAATTAGCTAAATTTAAAATATAAATTAATTTAAATTTATTATTCATTATTTAGTTTGTTCGTTCAAGCCAAGACCAAATTACTTTTCTTAGATCCTGGGAAAAGTTTTTGAATGGGCGTAATGCAAATCTGAAAAACAAGGCGCATCTAATTTTCAAAGATTTTTATGATAAAGACTTTATTGAAGAAGATTCTGTTTTGGAATGGTATGATCATGCTAAAGACACTAGTGAGGTTAAAAAGAAGTGTTCAGTTTTTATCACTTGGCTTAAAAATGCCGAAGAGGAAGAAGAATAGAAAATAATAATATTTATACACAAGATTTATTCTATTGGTAATTATATTAAGTTATTTTTAGCTATATGACAAAAATAGATTATATTCTATTATTAGTTTAAAAAAAATTAATGCTAAAAGTGAAGTTTGCAATATTATTATTCTTTAATTTATATGAAGAAATATTTTATTCTTAGATTAAGTATTAAAATATAGGTAAAATTTTGGATCCTTCAATATTTATAATTGTAAGCATTACTTGAATATGGTTTAATATGAATTTTGTTAAATTACTTGTTACATTTAAAGTATTTTTTTGTAAATTTATAACATATAACATTTATAATATTTTAAATTTTTTGGCAAGGTTTAAGTTAATATTATTTGTATTATAGTAATAAAGTTCAAGTTTTTTGAATTTTCTAAGGTATCAAAATAAGTAGAGAAAGATATTTAATATTAGCCAAGTTACTTTATCCCACGTGACAGCAACCTATTTGCCAACAGTCCAATCTAATTTTACTGTACTTCTCAAACTTATATCTCTCCAACCTTATTCATATAAAAGTGAATACAGTGCGTACAACTTAATCCCAGCAAATAAATATACCAATTTTCAAATTGCTAGCAAGTCAAGCTCAATAACCCCACATTTTTAAATTTCTGATATCCCAATTTTTGATGGAGTAGTAGCAATTCAACTTTACTATGGTGTGTTTCACCTATAAGCCACAATAAATTTGTATATGATTTTAACTCTTCTAAAAAAGGATTAAAAAAAAATAAACCAATAAAAATAATCTACAGATCCTAATCTTCAATTCTATCAGTTTAACTTTTTATTTCGTTTTGTTAATAAAAACCTATAATTTAACAATTTTTTTGCAATCATATACTTTTACACAACAAATTTCCGAAATTTAACTTTTTGTTTTTTTTTATTCAATTTCTTGAAACCATACCATCTTTTAAAAATTTATCTATCAAAAGTTACTACGGAACTTGTGGTTTATAGATGAAACGTGATCAAATTTCCAATCATTAATTTGTTGGTTTTCCATTTTGTTAATATAATTCAAAATGTCAATAAGGAACATTCAAAATTTTATCATCAGGGAGGAGGATAGAGCAAACATTTAAAAATTTGTCACTAGGGGGAGTGGAGCGAACGTTCAAAAAAGAAATTCTATTATCTATTAAAAAATAAAAGTTTTTTTTATCAAAATTATTTGTATTCTGACTTTTCAGCATATCACGCAAGCCAAAAAAGATTGACAGGTTCTACATTTCGGGGTATACAGATATCGAATTGAAATTAATGCGACTGTACGGTTGATTTTCTATATACATAACACAGAAAAGGATTTATACCCGTGACCTAACCCTAACTTTTACCAATAAAAACAAGTACGAATTTTATGGCTATCTTTGTAAAATCGTACAGTACAAAATAGCTTCCCTATGCTATAAAAAATCGATATTCGAAGGGTGTGATACACGGTGATAAATATATACCCCTGACAAACCCTAACCCTATCCCCCTGAAATTTGCGTAAAAATCATGTGGACTAGAAAATTTTCTGGAAGATGTCATTTAAAAATTTGTGTAACACAATGATCAAAAAAACGGGACTTGCCCTATGCTATAATTCAGGAATATTCGTTACTTTCCCATTTCTGTAAAAATGAGTGAAACGACAAACACCAACTTCCCTATATCTGACGGTAAAGCTTTTTTTACCTATTTGAACTCATATTATTCATAACTAAAAAAATCAACTTGTCCCAATTTTATTTGTATTAGACATATGGTTAGAAAAAATCCAAACTGAAATCCAAAATGCTGTTACTAAAGAAGACAAGCAGAGAATAATTTATCTTTTTTCTGAGGCGGTCAAAGATTATCTATGTACATTTTTTTTTTAAAAAAAAAAAAGCAATTACGAAACAAAATTTAAAGATCCATCATAATATTTATAAGATCTACGCCTTATTTTTATATCTTCACTAATTACATTTTAATTACTTTAATTGCATAATAGCGATTAAATTATGGATCGCTTACACAAGTTACGCGTCAAATGAGTATCAAAATTCTCTTAATCAAATGGATGAGGGAGAAGATGATTATAAATTTATTACATTGGAAGATGTTCGTAAAGTGTTTCAGGAAGCTTGTAATGCGACAAATTATATTATACCCGAGGTAGATATTTTCAAATATGATCAACTAATACGTCGATTTAATATGTTAATTAAAATATTTAATAAAAAATATGTTATTTAAATGTGTATGCTAAAAGTTCTAATTTTCTCTTGTTGGAAAAAGAGCCATAAAATTTGGGATTCTTATAGAGATTTTGAAGAGAATATTCTCGAGGTAATCATCTTTTAAATATCTCCAAATTTCTTATTTGATAAAATTCATATAATAATATAATTATAATAATATTTTTTCAATAGACATCACCTTGGTATATATTACTTGTGATTATGTATATGTTGGGTTGTCAATTGACCATTTAAATTATTTTATCGTAAAATTTTATTAATTAATTAATTAATTAGTTATTATTATTATTATTATTATTAGTGATGAACAGAAATATAAAGTTCAAAAAATGTATCTGGATCGTCTCAAAATTCCTCATTCAAGTATGTAATTTTTTTTTATCGTTTATATTTATTCTATAACTATAACTTTTAATATTCTTAATTCATTTTGTATATAGCTTTAGAGAAAACATTTACGGAATATTCTTCCTTTATAACGAAATATAATAATGATAATTATGAAAGTCTCATGATTGAGTCAAATTCTTTATTTAATGAAGCAAAATCCCAATATTATAAAAGAGATAAATATGAACAAGAATTGGTAAATGTCAATAAAAATAAAATAAAATAAATGTAAATATTTAATATTATAATAATTATTATAATTAAAAATAATTAAATAATTCTCTATTGTGTAGATTGATTCCAATTTCGCTCTAGATAAATTTATGAATTATATTCAATTCGAAAAACAGCAACCAAAACCATTTTTACCAATAATCCGTACTTTATATGAGAGGGCTATTTATGTTCATTATTTAGTTCCATATCTATGGGAAGATTATATTTTTTATTTACTTGAAAAAAAAATATCAAATGATATCATTATAGAAACTTCTGAGCGTAGTACTCGCAACTGTCCATGGTCAGGAGATTTATGGAGTCATTATATGCGAGCTTTAGAAAAACGTCCAAGTTCAAATTCATATGATGAAATTAAAAGTGTATTCCAAAATTCTCTCTCTATAGAAATGCTTAAAAATAATGTGGATGATCTGGTTAAAGTAATAATAGCTAATTGTGATCTAGAAAGAAGAAAATTATTAAAATCCGGAACATCTATAAATTTAGAGAATTCAGTGAATCTTAAAAATGCTTTATCAGAAGGACTTCAAACAGTTAATCAAGGTATCTGTTTTGTGATAACTAACAAAAAAAAAGGAAGAAAGAAATGTACCTTTAAAACTTTATTAAATTTTATTTATTATAGTTTTTCAAGATGGGGATCCTTATTATCGTTTGGAGAGATATTTAATAGAAATTGAGGTAAATATTAAATAAACAATATTAAATTAATATTAAATAAATAAGATAAATATAACTTTATACCGTATCATATTCTTTTTTATAGACATTAACAGGAAATGTAATTAAAGCGAGAGAAATTTGGGAGCAGATTATTAAACAGCACCGTGGTGAATCAGAAGCATGGATTCGTTACATTGATTGGGAAAAGTGGGTATTATTAGTTAAAATTTTTTATTCAGTTTTAATATAAATTAAAAAATTTTTTTTTTTTTTTTTTTTTTTTTTTTTTTTTTTTTTTTTACCTCAATAGATCTTTGGGAAATTTAGAAGAAGTTCGCAAAAAGTATAAGGTGGCAGCTCATCAAAATACAGATTGGCCAGAACGAATATTTGATGGTTTGGAACAATTTGAACATCAATATGGAACATTAGAGAATTTAGAAAGTACCTTGGTTTTTTTAGCAAAGCAAAAGTTGAAAGTTGCAAATCGACGCGCTAAGGTTAGTGATTTATTGTTAATTATTTTAATTATAAGTGATAATACTTACAAGTATTTTTAATATATTCTTCTTTCTTAAGACTATGGAAGAATATTATCAAGCTGAACAATCTCAAATAGATCAAACTCAATCCCAACAGGCATATAACATCCAATCATCAAATAACTTAATTGATTCAAGTAACAATGTTAGAAAAAGAAAATATGAGGAAGACGATTCATTATTAGAGAAAAGGAACAAACGTGTGTTATAATTTGTTTCATTTGTTTGCTGCAATTGATCATATTAGATTAATAATTTAATTCTCTCTTTTTTAATCCATTAGCATTCATTCACAATAAACCAAAACGGTAAGTTCACTCCTTATTTAGATTTCGAGTTTACGATTTATTTATTGACTAGAAACACGAAATTGTTTTTTTTTCAGGGATCGCGAGTTTACCACAATAGTTGTGACAAATTTACCTCTACATATTACGGAAGGTCAATTGAAATCATTTTTTCATGAGGTTAGTTTGGGGTTGAATTATTTTAAATTAAGTTCTTTCATCATATTCATTTATAAATATATTTATATCTATATTTATTTATTTAGTGCGGAAAAATTTTAGGAATTCGTATATTAGAAGATTCAGATGAATCTCAAAAATATGCTTATATTGAATTTTCATTTAGGGTAATCGTTATTATACATTTTAATTAACGGGTACATTAAAACGGGAGATTAAAGATTAATATATTTACATCATCATCATAATAGGAAGATGTTCCAGCTGCATTAACTAAAGACAAAAAAAAGATTGGAGAAAATGAAATTAATGTTTATAGAATACTTGAACATATTTTATATGTTACAAATTTTATTCCATCCACAGATTTGAAGGAATTATTCGAGAAGGTATTTTACAAAGTTTCCTACAAAGAAACTTTTTTATAGAATCATTTTAATGATCAAAGAATCACATTTATATTTAATATAATAATATATAATATTTAGTATGGTGAAATAATTGAAATTCGAATTCCCCAATCACTTTATCGAGCAGGAAGATTTTGCTATATAGAGTACAAAAAAAAGGTATTTATTTTGTATTTATTTTCGTATCTCATATTTGATATACCCTAATCACGGGATCTATGTCTTCTATATTATTACAGGATTCAGCACATGCCGCATTAGAAATGAATGGTTACGAAGTTGAACCAGGAAGAAAATTGAAAGTTGCGATTTCAAACCCGATATTAAGAAAGCCTCGTTCACCACCAGAGTAAGAAAATTGTCTTATAGACTTTATACTATAATCTCTCATTACAATTTAATTGATTTTCATTAATTATTTTAGACAAAGAGAGATTTTTATTCGTAATCTCCCAAGTGAAGTGAATAGTGAGGAATTAGAATCAATATTTAACAAAGTATTTATTATTAACTTTATTAACTATTGTTGTTATTATTTTAAGAATTTCAAATATTTCAAATAAATAAATATTTATTAAATTTAAATTTTTGTAGTACGGTAGAATTATTAAGGTGAGAATACCTACGACACCTGATAATAAGTGTAAGGGTATCGCGTATATGGAATTTGATAGTGAGGTAAATTCCTAAAAATGCACAAATAAATTATTACAAAAATATATAAATTAATTATTATTAATGCTGACGACTATTTTTATACCAATAGGAAAATGCAAAATCTGCGCTAGCGTTAAATTTAGTAGAATTTAAAGGATGCATTTTGAACGTTGATCTAAGCCGCATTAGCGAAAAAAGTCGGCAAGTTATATTTAGTAAATTACCATCCGATACTACCGAAGAAATGATCCGTGAAATTATTTTAACGCAACTTGAGGTAAACTTTATTTTAAGTATTGTTTTTCTAATTTATTAATTTATTTAATTTATTTATTCTTTTATTAATAATATTAATTTTTCAGGGGAATGGTATAGAAGAAATTAATTTGAATTCTCAACAAAAACTCGCGCGAGTAAAATTTTTAAATGCTAAGGTAATCATGACAACAAATATATTTTTTTAAGATATTTAGAAAAAATCAATACAACTCAATACTGAATGACAACTATTTTTATTATTATTTTTTATTTTATTTAGGATGCTGGAAAAGCAATTTTACTCTTCAATAATTATAAGTTCAATGGTAAAACTATTAAAGTTAAGGCCAGTGAAGACGAAGTATCAACGTGAGTTATTTATGATTTTAAGAAACAATTGAATTCTCTAATTTATTATTCTGAATTACTCTATTTTATGAATATTTATGAACAGTAAAAACAAAAACAGTAGCAACAACGACAGCGGCAAATCAATAATATCAACTAATTCAGCAGGAATGTTTTTACCAAGACAATATTCCAAACCAAAAGTTGGAATTAAAATTCAAAAGAATTTAAACAAATACAAAAAATGATTATTTCATTTATGTAATATAACGATAATATTATTTACATTATCAATGAATAAAAAAAAAATATATTAAATACTTTTCCTTTTGTATTAAGATTATTGAACATGAAGGTCTAAATCTTAAATTGTTGAAGTAATTTATCTTTATGACCTGAATAATAATAATTCAATTATTATAAATTTATTTACTGTTACGTCACATAACATTATATTTACTGTAAAAAAAAAACTTTAAATATATAAATTATATATACATAATATAGGAAAATTATTAAAAATTCTAATAAATTAATCCATATAAAATAAGCGATAATGTAATTAATGTGGAAAACAAAATCAAAGGAAATTGTATAGGAAATTGTGGAAATTGTGTATTTTTTGAATTATCTGAAGCCAATTTAATTAAGAGATCTTCAAGTGAATTAATAAATGTATCTAAAGAAAAAGATTTTTGCACATGTGATCTTCCTTTATTACCCATAGCTTCACGATCATAATCACCATTGACAAATGAAGCAATTGCCTCTGCAAAAGCTGCTGGATTAGGGAAACAGAGAACTCCAGTTTCACCATTAATAATAGTTTCCTTTGGACCTCCACTATCACATGCAATCACTGGTAATCTAGTATACATCGCCTCAATTGGTACAATTCCGAAATGTTCATTTGATGGTGTATATAAAAGACACAGAGCTTTTGATAATAAATATGTTCTTTGTGTGTCATTAAAAGAACACAAAAAGACTACTTGGGCTGATTCGGGTGGTGCACTGATTGAATCTGGCATAATATTATAGACTTCTAAACCCAACTGTAATGCCACCTCGCTCAACTCTAAATGATGTGCCACGTTTTCTTGAATGCGATAATCATATCCACCTAACATTTTCAAATTTCATTAAACGATTAAATGATTAATTCTATTAATTTCATTAATTCTTTAAATAGGTATAAATTTGACTCACTCACCAGCAATGATTAATCGCATATTTCGGAATTTTTCTGATGAAATCAAACACTTTTCTTGTAACCTTGCAAAGGCACGTATAGCAAGTACAATATTCTTTTTTCTTTCGAAGCGGTTAATTGATAAAATAACCTTTTTTGACCTTTAATTATTGTAATTATTGTTATTATTGTTATTATTGTAATTTAGAATATAAACAATTCGTTAAGTAGAAAACTATATCTTTTATCTGACTTACGTTTCCAAAATTTTTACTGATTCGTCATCGGTATTGACTTTTCTATCATACGCTTCGAAACGAATTCCGGGATAAAGAATTTGTGGCATTTTTTTTATGGTAGTAAAAGATTCGCAAAATATATTTGAAGTAAATTTACTATTTACAACTAAACAATTCGCCATACCTAAAAAGGAATTTTTTTTTTTTTTAGAAAAAATTGAAGAAATGAATATTACACGATACAAACGATTCTATTACCAGTAGTCAATTCTTCTATAATATCGATTGGAATTCTGTACAGGCTTTTAGCGGTCGTTTTTCGTTGCGTCAATAATTTATCTGGAAAATGACAATAAAATAAAACCTTTCGTTTGTACGAAAATGAGAATAAATAAAAGCATATATATATATTATATATAAATTGAGATTAATATTTACCTTTGCTCCAGCCAATTTCAGCAAAGGAATATTTGCAGATAATTGATCCATAAATATTACATCGAATTTATCTTTATCACTAAAAATCATCGATAAAGTCAAATGTAATTGTCTTAGAATGGCACAAACGACGTAAAATGATCCAGAGAAAGTACGGGGAATTATAGTATTACCACGTACTCTAACTTCAAGTGTACCTATAAGAAAAAAAAAACAGTTAACCAGAGGTTGATATCAGATAAATATGATAAAAGATACATACCATCTTTTGTCTCTTCGAAACAATGTTCTTCGTCGTGGTGGGATGTATAAATAACAACTTTGTGTCCTTTGGCTGTCAAACCAGAAGCGGCGTCTACCACTAAACGTTCAGCCCCACCTAGTGAGTAACAAAATATAAAAGAAATTGCAAAAATTAATATTAAAAAAGATAGAATTCTGCTATACAAAAATGTTAAAGAATTTTTTATTAAGCGCATGATATAGATGATCACAATCTTTATTTAATGCAAATCAGGTAAATAATACCTATTCCAAGATCCGGGTGAATGATTGCAATTTTTAAAGCTTTTGTTGAGGTCATTATTTAGTGATTTAAGTTTTTGATGAGGAATAAAAAAACGAAAGTCTTTATACATAAACGTAAACGGAGATCTGTCACACATACAAATAAATGTCACGCGTGTCGTTTAACCACATTTGATTTTCATAAAAAATATAAAAAATTCCCTTTGATAAATTATTTAAATTATTTCACTTCTTCCAATTCAATTAAAACGCCACCACAATCTTGGAGTGCAGAAATACAAGATTATCGTGTGCTCCTATTTTTGGTTCTGGATCCAAAACTCTAACCTTCTTTGAAGTTAAATCTTTTACTGATACTTTAATATTGTCGACCTTTTTTGAAAATAAGAAATCAATAAGATCCCAATTTTTTTATATCAAAAAAAAAAAAAAATTCTTTTGTGACATATGATACCCATTTCAATACAAATGTGATGAATTCCACCCATTTTATTTTTTTCAAGAAAATTTTAATTGGTGATTTATCGCCATATGGATGAATTAATTTTGGTGTTACCAAACCGTATATTACTCCATATTCTGTTTGGGGCTATTAGAATAAATTATGAGAGATTATATTATAGAAAGTTCGATTACAAGTTACAAGAACTTACCATAGCATCACTAACTTCATGAGCTCCCAAAATATTTCTATAGAAATCAATAGCCTTTGTGAGATTTGGTACGGCTATTGCTACATGGTTTAAGCGACCCAACTTCCATACTTCATGTTCCTGTTTTTCAAAATCAAAAATTTTTGAAATTTTCAAAAGAAAATTCGAAAGTCAAATAGAACAACATTTACTGATGATAATCCAGTTGCCAAATAATAACGCTTTTTCTTCCGTAAAATATTTTGGGAATTGATACTTTATGTATATGTCATGATCTAATTGACTGAATTTGTATGTTGATTGAAATCTACTTTTTTGAAGCGAATTTTTCAGGTCATATATGTTATACTAATTTAATGACTTTAGTTTTGGCCAGCTCTATCGATGTTTATAGTATAAATTCTTTTCTATAATAATATCAATGCAAAATTTCCTTTTAATTAACATGGATTGCAATGTATTTAGCATTAATTGCTTTATCAAATAATTAGAAAGTCAAGATTGTAGATATAGGATTTTGGCCTAGATTCCAACTGAAATTTTAATCAAGTGATTTTGCTTTTGGAAAGTATCTTTTCAAATTTGAAATTAATTTTTGAAACTTTGAATATTTTTAATTCTATTGGATATCATTTTAGAAATTTCTTTTGTTCTTTTTTTCTTATGACCCGAGTTACCAGTTGAAATTTTATTTGCATGATTTTGCTTATTGTTAGATGAAGTCTTGTAAATTGAGAATGTTCTTTATCTGAGAATATTTTTTGATCCTGTAAAGCGGAAACTTCATTACTTTGTGATAGTTTTTTTTATTGCACTACTGATCTCTTCTTTATGTTACATATCCAAGAAATAAATCATCTTTATAATTATTACTGTTATTAATATTGTTATCATCATTCTCATCATCATCATTATCACCACCACTATCATTATTATCACCATTATCATAATAATTATTATTATTACTATCATTGTCACCATTATTGTCATTATTATAATTATTATTATTATCATCACCACTATCACCATCACCATTATCATTATTATATTATCATTATCAACATTATTGTCATCAACATTATTATCATTATTATAATTATCATTATTACTATTATTATTATTATTATCATTATTGTTATCATTATTTTTCATCATTATCATTATTATTGTTATCATCATCATCATCATCATCATTGCTATTATCATCATTATTTTTCTGTTTATTTAAAATTCTATTAAGTTCATCTTCTTTCATTTTTATCTTATTATCTATTTCCAAAAAAACAAGAAGGATATGTTCTTTTTCTTGTTTACACTCAGTAATTTCTCGTCTCTAATTACAGTAGAATAATTAAGAATAATGGTAAAGCTAATATATAAATGCAAAATAAGTAATTTTACTTACTAATTTAAATTCATCAATTACTTCATTCCAATAATTTTGCAGAATATTTTTTTGACATTGCCATTCTATTGTAAAAAAAGCATTTATCAATGTTAATAGCGTGTAATTTTTTATTTAGTGGTGAGGGCATGCCAAAAATCAAATGATTTATAGTATTTTATATTATAGAGAAATTAAATGATAAACGGCATGCCCCAAAGGAAGACACATAACCGATTCCTCTTATGGAATTAGCAGACCTTTACCAGCCACAAAGTTAGGGCGCCTGAGTAGAGGACTTGGAGTGGTTACCAAGCTGTCATACCCAGTAGTTCTCCTAGTCGACTCGCGACCACGATCGCGACCCACTAGGAGTTACCCTCCCTTTGCAAAATAAAAAAAAACACCTGTATTTTCAAGTTATTAAATTCATTTGGGTTTAATATCTTTTTTGCTTCTAATAAAAAGCGTTCGCACCAGGAATTATTAAGGTCACGCCAGAGGGAAGTAGGTGATGTAGATGAAATAGCAGCAATGATTTTATTTCGCAACGAAGCAAAAAGCCCCAGAAGGCCTTATTTTCGTGTTGTTCTAAATATTTAGTAGCGTGTCCAGATATGATATAAAAAATAGTAAAAATATAGAAAATACAAAAACGCGAGAAAACTACGTGAAATTTGAAATTTCAGGTAATTTATCGAATTTGGTTTATCGTAAAAATTTGTTTTGAAATTTATTTCAGAAAAAATTCCCTTTGATAAATTATTTAAATTATTTCACTTCTTCTAATTCAACTAAAACGCCACCACAATCTTGGGGGTGCAGAAATACAACAGGATTACCGTGTGCTCCTATTTTTGGTTCTGGATCCAAAACTCTAACCTTCTTTGAAGTTAAATCTTTTACTGATACTTTAATATTGTCGACCTTTTTTGAAAATAAGAAATCAATAAGATCCCAATTTTTTTATATCAAAAAAAAAAAAAAAATTCTTTTGTGACATATGATACCCACTTCAATACAAATGTGATGAATTCCACCCATTTTATTATTTTCAAGAAAATTTTTAATTGGTGATTTATCGCCATATGGATGAATTAGTTCAATTTTGGTGTTACCAAACTGTACAAAAACCGTATATACTCCATGTTCTGGTTGGGGCTATTAGAATAAATTATGAGATATTATATTATAGAAAGTTCGATTACAAGTTACAAGAACTTACCATAGCATCACTAACTTCATGAGCTCCCAAAATATTTCTATAGAAATCAATAGCCTTTGTGAGATTTGGTACGGCTATTGCTACATGGTTTAAGCGACCCAACTTCCATACTTCATGTTCCTGTTTTTCAAAATCAAAAATTTTTGAAATTTTCAAAAGAAAATTCGAAAGTCAAATAGAACAACATTTACTGATGATAATCCAGTTGCCAAATAACGAGATAAAATCCCAGATACTCGTGTATTCTTTGTTATCTTGGAAGAATTCCTAATTATAGGTGAGGGTACGAGATTAAAATTTCTAACTATAATTTTATTAGCAAAATTAGGTTTGGTAATGAATGATTTCAAAAAAGACATTGTTAGAATAAAAATTTTTTTTGAATTCTCACTGTTCAATTATTTCACAAGTTACACAAATGTAATTTTCCCAAAATTGGTACATTAAAAAACAAAAAAAAATGATTGGAAATTGTTTATGTATAAAAACACTGAAAAAAATTGTACAATCTATAATAAAGTCGGGTTTTTATGATTTTTTCATTTCTTCTCTATTCATTTGTAGAGAAGAGGCCGCGGATCTTCTCATCATCAGTGTCTAAAATAAATGAATTATGTGAATTTGAATTGATAATTCCAAACTTACTTTTCCATATTTGTAAACAATGTCTTCAACCTGTTCTGGAGACAAAGACAAGTCGGAAGGTAAGCAATGAATTTTTTAAATCAATAATCTGTTTTTTTTTTGTGACATAACAATAATAACGCTTTTTCTTCCGTAAAAAATATTTTTGGAATTGATACTTTATGTATATGTCATGATCTAATTGTCCGAATTTGTATGTTGATTGAAAATCTACTTTTTTGCAAGCGAATTTTTCAGGTCATATATGTTATACTAATTTAATGACTTTAGTTTTGGCCAGCTCTGTCGATGTTTTGCATTGTCTCACGAAGTTAGGGTGCTTTCACATCTGAATTTACAATCGATTGCATTTAAAAAAATTAAATCATGGAAAATATAACTTTATTATTTTTTGTATAAAAAATAAGGCCGAGGCCGGTTAAACTAAGGTAATAGAGTAGGGGATGTTTAAAGGGAGGAAAAGTATGAAAGGTCATACCTTCCAGCCTTTTGAAATTTTGATATAGTAATAGAGGAGGTGAATGCCTATAATAGTTAAATACCCAATGAGCTAAAGGGCATAAATGGTCTGCTAAACTTAGTCGTGCAAAAAATAATAAAACATGGTGCCCAATCTGTACAGTTGAAAAATTAGATATGAAGAAGTTTGCAACAGAAAAGGGAGGTTCTTGCCTTGCAATCAGGTATATTAATATGCATGATCCTCTTGAATGGATGGAAGACTTCAGTGATAAGAACTTTGTATCGAAAATGTAGTACACTAGTTCGAAAATCTTATACACCAGTTCGAAGATCTATAAAATCGCAATACAATATTGATATAGCACAAGAGCGAGGTGGTAAATGTCTTTCTATAAAATATGTTAATTCAGATTTTCCAATGCTTTGGAGTTGTGTTAAAGGTCATGAATGGACTGCACCTTTTGCTATAATAAAGAACAAAGGTAGGTGATGCGCACAATGTGCAGGTAACCTTCTTACAAAAGCTAAAGAAATTGCTCACAACAAACGAGGTATGTGTCTTTCTAAGGAACATATAAATCTCCGTGTTCCTCTGCAATGGATAAAGGCCATAAATGGTCTGCGAGTTTTAATTGCATAAAACACTCTAAAACATGGTGTCCATATTGCATGAAAAATTATGTCGTGAAGTCATAACTAATATTCTTGGCCCACCTTCTAGCATTTGCCAACCAGATTTCTTGAAAATGCCGGAATATCCTCAAGGTAGAACTTGATATTTACTATCCGCAATTTGGATTTGCTATAGAGGTACAAGGTGAGCAACATGAGCAATGTGTAAATGCATCCACAAAAATGAGAGGTTATTCCGGAATATGTATCTTGGTTAAACGTATTTGTAATATACATTTTTACGTAATATATAGAATATTTAAAATCACGTGCTCATATAATAATTAGTTGCGCACGTCATTTATAAAAACTATCCCAGTTTTCGCACATGTATATCAAAAAAATAACCAAAGATCTATCAAAACGATACTTTTGCCTTAAGGATATGACTGGCATGACTGAGCATGACTCCTTTGAACTCTAAATAAAGTAGTTGACTAGCGAAGTTGAAAAAATATGTAATCGATCAAAACTTGCCTTATTTCGGTCAGATTGTCATGTTATATAAATACCTCGAGAATCTAAGAATTTTAATTGTAAATATCTCGAGAATTTTTAATTATATAGAATTTTGTATTATATTAATTGCTGATTCGTCTACCATTTGATCATTTTAAATTGTTTTTCATCGTATAGGTAAGTATAAATTTTTGTTATATAATTATAGATGAAATTTTAGTATCTGTTAAGCTATTTGAGAATTTTTTTGTAAAAAGTCTGATAAATTTTTCAAAAAATAAAAGATACTTTCTTACATGCTGAAAAAATCAATTCTTTATAATTTTTTAAAACTGTATATTTTTATAAAACTTTCGCGGCCAACAGATGTAAACTATTATAGTTTTATTAAATTTTCTATATGTAAATAGTGCCGTCGTTAGGCGAACCAGCAATTACCATTTTGGATTAGTTTATAGCCGTAGTTCACCCCAATTCATCATATACACAAATCGAAATGTCTACTCATCAGCCAAGGTTATTATTTATACTTTATTGAAAAATTAGTTTTAACCTTTGTTTTTAACTTTGGATTCTTGCATTTGCAGAAATATGGTCAAAATAATACTATCCTGTTATGTTTTAAATCTTGAGTGTGCTTTATCAGTTAACATTTGTAAAAGAAATAAAATATCCGAAAGTTATTACGTTTTTACTAACGATCGAACTGTCGATCATCTCAAGCAACTGATATGGAATAATATAAAGAAATGGCACAATATGGAAAATGTCAAGGATTACAATGAATTAGTACTTTGGAAAGTTGAAGTTTCTCAGGAGAAACTTAATAAATCTCTTACCAAAATTGAAATTGAAAAGCTCGGAGGTAGGGAAATGGAACTATTAATAAGTTTAGGAGAAGGATATGTATTTCTGGATGAAACCATTAACATAATCATCCAAATCACTGATAAGTGTCTCCCAATGTTTTACCTCTCGAAAAAATAGTTTCACTATTCTGTTTTCTATATAACATATCGTGGTTCTTTTTATTTATTTACTCACAATCACCATCTTCGTTTTTTGATGAGCAAATAGGCCAAGAGTGCATTAAAATACAACCTCGACAAAATGGTATGTATAAGTTGGTATTTTGGATATTTGAATTGCATCGTTTATATTTCTAACATCAGCCTTCTTTAGATGGTTGTGGTGGTACGTTACTAACTTATGATCGGATGACAGGTTATTCTATCGAGGGCATTTCTCTTACTAACTCTGACATCAGCAATAGACCTGAGATTATACCTTCATTAATCAAAGATCTTATGCAGAAAATGTTTATACTTATTCGGTCTCCTCCCTATTCTGGAAAAACATCATTAGCACAAATTTTAGAGAATTGCTTAGTTCAATCACAACACTTTTCGGAATACAGAGTAATAAGAATTTCAATACTTTGGGCATCAGCTGTGAAAATGAAATGCAATTGGGAGACGTTTGGAACGGTATGGAAGAAGATTATTGGTGTAAGCTGGACAGTGCAAAATTATTCCATCGATTTTGATAATGGATAAAGTTCAAATGATCTATAGGCAAGAGCATGAATTTGACGAAAGTATGAAGAATACAGAAACTGCAATGGAATTTTTGGAATACCATTAAGGCCAACCTTCAAGGATCATCAAATGTTTATATCATTATGTTTGGAGCCTATGGATACGGTGCTAACTCTGCAGGACTTTCAACCCCTGTCACAATATCAGAAGAGAACAGCAAAAGTCTTTTTGACATCAAATTTACCGATTATGAGCTAGAGGACTATGTTAAAATTTTCTGCGATAGATATTTTTTATTATTAGATAATAACATTCTTAATGACATCATCTCAAAATTTAGTAAATATATTCAAAAAGCGACGGCAGGACATGCGGGTTTATTTCGTCACAGATTGCATAATATAAAAATGCAATGGAGTGAAAATGTGTTGATCTGGAAAGACATATTTGCGTATCTAAATTCAAATAAAAATTTTCTGTAAATGTTTACTTAAATGGGAAAGACCTTCCCATATGAACATTCAGCGGTTAATCAAATCTGGGGCTCTCATAGCTAATAATGGATATCTATATTTTTCAGCACCTCTTATTATGCGATCATTTTTCCAGCAATGTTATGGAAGTCACAATAATACCAAAATTACCCCCTTCATTATTATATAATTTTATTGAGAAAACTTTCACAGCAATATGTCATGGACAAAACGGAAAAATTTTAAAGACGCTTAGATTTGGAACTGATGGAAGCCTTCTGGAGCAAACATGGCAGAAGGATGGTAGGGATATGGTAGGAGATTTGAACTTGGGGAAGAATATAAGGAGATTGTTAAATATGCAAAGAGCATAGTTATAATCGACGTTCGCGATGAATCAAAAAAGGTTCGAAAGATTTCATACATGTGTCATGCTCCGAGAATTATGATGAATTTAAAATAGAATGTGTGGGCAAAGATCCTTTGACCATTAAAATTAGAGATTAGATGTTGTTATACTTTAATGTAATTCTTTTTCTTTTGATACAATTGCCCGATTAAAAATAAATGTAATAACATTTATACAAGTTATTTATAAAGCCTTGTAGGCATATGTTTATTATTTTTCTATAGAGACAACTAAAAAATTGATGATAGCCAATGACCCGTGATTCAGATCAAGTTTCTGAGGATTGTTAATTCTAATATTTATTTACCTTTTAAAATTCATTGGACTTAACATATTTCTTTTTATTTTTAACTTGTTGGGATTAGTTTAATTTATTATTTCATTTTTTTTAACTACAGAATTCCTTACAAATATTGGTGTTGACACTTTAGAAAATTTATACAGTAATTAATATGATTTAATTATTTTTGTATTAAACCATTTGATAGTTTATAATATGGTGTTGATTGTTAAATTTAATTCTTTTTTTTTATCCTAGATAATCAAAAATATGGACTTGATGGTCCTTCAAATTCAGGTTCACAATTTCAGAAATAATAAACTTGATTCTCTTTCTTTCTTTATTGGATTTTTTTATTATTGATATTTTATATTTAATTTTATTTTTATTATCCATAAAGATCTATTTTATTAATTAGACATTTAATTTATTATTACTTTTATATATATTTAAATTTTCAAGATTTAAATAAAATCTCTTTATAATTATCAATGATTCATTATCACATATATTATGCAATTATTAAATACCAAAAAAAAGATGTTATGGTAACAAAATCAAAAATGATATTTAATTTTAATTTTGATGTTAAATAAATTTTTTATCAATTTTTCAGTTTTAATAGTACATTTAGATATTTTTTTTGATTAGAAGTTCATTTTTAATATTTTAATTATTGTCAGGTACATATTTCTTTTTAAAATTAATAATCATTTATGAAATAATTTCAGAATTTCAAATTAATATAATTAATTTTTAAATTTGAAATGTAATAAATTATTTTACATCTGTAAAAATGATAAATAAGTTAAAAATACAATTTCTTTTTTTTATTTTTGAATTAAAACAATCCTTTATTAAGGTTTCAGAGAATAAAACAGAAATAACAATCTTTACTTATTTTCTTGTGCATCACTCTTTTTTTCAATCTCAATATAATTGAGACATCTTTTTCAAAAGAAAATCAAGAGCTTTTCCAAATTAGTCACCCAGTTTGTTAAAATATGGAGGAAAATCAATATATATAACACCTTGCCCAACTTCATTTGCTACCATTCCTGACCAATGCTGTTTTCCTTGTCACATGCTCTCCACAAGAAAAAATATTACACCTTCACTCCATAAAAATTTAAATGTGCTCCCTAATTGTCGATTCTAATCAACAGAACGTAAATAGGCTTGTACTGGAATTTATTTCTTATTCCAAGCGGACATCCATTTTTTCATAATCATTAGGGGCGGGATTTATATAAGATCTATAAAGTGACGATTGAAACAGAGCACGATCTGAGTTTCTCGACACGAGATTTTGTCGTTGAAGGAATAGAACTTGACGGGTATGGCGAAAGAACCGAGTTTTGGGAGACTGAAATTGACAAATGGAATGTAAATGCCGATTTATGTAAAAAAAAGATTGACATGCAGATCAACAATAAGGAATTCAGTTCACAGTATTTAGGAGGGGAACACAGTTAATAAATGATGTAATAATAAGTTTATATAACCAATTATGTTAAGATTAGAATCTGGATGTAGCACATAAAAAAGACCATAAAAAGACCGAACTTTTTTTGATTTAAATTGAAATAGAAAAGTTCGCAGCAAATTAAAATAGAAAAAAATTTGATTTGATTCTACAATTTTCAAGGTGGAAATTACTTTCTCACAATCATAAATGATAGATTATCATTTATCATATTGCTTTTTAACATAATATTATATTTTTAAATCGTAGGACATGTCGATTTTCAACCGTTTTCAAGCAAACGATACACCATACGTAGAATACAAAGACGAAGAAGATCCAGAGGAAGGAGCTTCAGATAATTTTATTTTACGACCAACCACAACAAGTATTCCCTCTAGTTCACGGAATAAATCCCCAAAAGTTTCTTCATTTCAACCATTTACTGCAAATCGACAACAACAAAGATATCAACAGGTGCAACAAGATTATGACGAAACAGAAATAGAATCGGATCAAGAAAGCAATGAGGCACCAGCTTCTTTATTAATAGAAACACCAACAATTAATAATAATAATAATAATAGTAATAATAATAACAATTATAGTAATAGACATATTCCTAAACCAGGAATGAACATTACCGAATTAACAATGTGGAAATGGGTCAATGTAGTAAATTTGGATACATTTCTTGAACAAGTAATTATATCTGAATAATAATAATAATAATAATAATATAATAATAATAATAATAATAATAATAATAATAATAATAATAATAATAATAATAATAATAATAATAATAATAATAATAACAACAATAATAATAATAATAAAGTTTTATACTGTAATAACGTTTTTTTCAGGTTTACTCATATTACATCGGAAAGGGAATTTACTGCATCTTGTTAAAAAGATTTCTAAATGTATTGTAAGTTATTATTTTTTTTTTGATCTACTTTTGAAATTAACAAACTATTAAATAATTTATAAAATGATTTATAAAGTAATTTATATTTAGTAATCAGGTTGGTTTTTTTTTTGTAGAACTTTGGGTTTCGTTATGGGATTTTCAACCTTTTTACTGGGATGTGTCGATTATTCTTTAGTACGTCATTCTCATAGTTTAACGGAAGTAATAATACCGAAATGTCTCTCTCAGTAAGTATTTCTATACATAAATATGATTCAAAAATATAATTGATTAAAAAAAAAAATGTAACTAATTAATGAAATATATTAAAAAATATATAAAAGATTATCTGGTTGGTCAATTCTATTCCTTGGTTTATTTAGCATTTTTTGGATGTTTCAAATCATTCGTTTCCTACTGGACATTCCTCGTTTAATTGATATGTATAATTTTTATACTTATCTTTTGAAGATCGAAGACGTAAGTATAAAATTAATTATTTTGTAATATATGATTATAAAAAATATTAAAATATTAAAAAATATATTTAATAGGCTGATATGCAAACAGTTTCTTGGCAACATGTCGTAAACAAAATAATCCAAATTAAAGATAATAATCCCACCACATCTCGAGGTTCCAATATTAATATACCACAACAACGATTAGATGCTATTAATATTACTAATCGAATTATGCGTCAAGAAAATTATCTTGTAGCTCTTTTCAATAAAGAATTATTAAATTTAACAATTCCCATTCCAATACCCTTTTTTCAAAAACGAAATATATTAACCAAGACTTTGGAATGGAATTTAAATTGGTGTATTCTAAATTATATATTTAATGATAAAGGCCAAGTTAGAAAGCGATTTATAACAAAAAATTCGGAAAGAGATAAATTGGTTAAAGAGTTAGTAATAAAATATATATATATATATATTTTTTTATAATAATTATAAATTATTTTCTTTTACTTAATAAATAAAAAAAAATTATTTTATTTAATAGATTACGAAATAGATTTTATTTCATGGCAATTCTGAACTTAATATTTTCACCCTTTATTGTTATATATCTTATCTTGTATTCCTTCTTCCGTTACTTTGAGGTATAATAAATTATTAATAAATCAATTCTTATATTTATTAATACAATTTCATTGATTTATTGACTTTTTTTTTTTTTTGATATTAGGAATTTCGATCTAATCCTGGCTCATTCTTTTCTCGTAAATGGTCTCGTTACGCGCGTTGGAAATTTCGTGAATTTAACGAATTACCTCATTTATTTAATCAACGAATATCTAAAAGTTATAAGGCTGCTAATAAATATATCGATCAATTTCCCAAAGAGAAAACAATATTGCTTACACGGTATATATTCATTCATTTTCCACCCTTTTTAATAATAATTTTTTTTTTAAAATAATAATAATAATAATTATTATTATTATTATTTAGATTTATAATATTTATTGTTGGTTCATTCGCGGCAGTCTTGGTTTTGGCATCTTATATTGATCCTGAATTATTAATATTCGAGATTTCAAATGGTCGTTCAGTTTTATTTTATACTGGAATATTTATTCCAATTTTGGTAGTTACTCGTAGCACTATTCCTGATGAGCACATAATATTTGATCCAGAAGAACGATTAAAGAAAGTTGTCGAACATACACATTATGCTCCTAATGGATGGACGGATAGAATGCATACTGATGGAGTAAGTCATTTTATTTTTAATTTTGATTATACGCAAATTACTTTTATCAATTTTTATCTACTTTCATCATGAATTTTTTTTTTTTTTACTCATTATATTTCGTTTTAAATATTGTTAATCTAGGTCCGAAAAGAATTTAGTGAATTATTTGTTGGAAAAGTAATGTTAGACGTTCAGGAGATTTTAAGCGTTATATTTACACCATTTATTCTTTGGCTTTCTCTTCCTGATTGTAGTCATATCCTTTATTATCTTTATTATCTTTGTATTTTGTTATTTCTGTTATCATACAGATATTTGTTTATCCTTAATTTTATTATTATTATTATTATTCGATTTTACAGCAAATAATTGATTTCTTTAGAGAATTTACTGTTCATATTGACGGACTTGAATACGTCTGCAGTTTTGCAGTATTTGATTTTAAAAGACATGGAAACTTGAAAGTATGTATAATTGATATTTTATTCTTAATTATCTATTATTCTTAATTATTTAATTATTCTTAATTATATTATTTAATAATTTAGTATGGTGCACCAGTTGAAGTAAATAACGAATACTATTTATCAAAAGATGGTAAAATGGAAAAGAGTTTTTTGAATTTTAAGGTTAGTTTATTAATTTTCCGGAGCATAGTAATTATAGTAATTATAATAATATTAAATTATTACGATCTTTCCTTTCTTTTTTTTTAACATCTTTACACATTTTTTTTTTTTACAAGGCCAATCATCCTGATTGGGAACCAGCGGATCCTACCGGATCACTTTACCTTAATAACCTTAGCCGTTTAACTGAAGTTAATAATCATGTTCGTCCTCAACATCGTTCTAATTATTCTGGTCGTATACCTGCCTTGGATTCTATTATAAAACCTAATAATAACAATAATCGACGTAGCGGAAATATTCATTTTCAAAATGGGTCTCTATCAACCTTAAACTTTAATAATAACAATAATATCAACAGCAATGTTCTTAATAATCATCATAACTATAATAACTATATTAACAATAACAATAATAACAATAATAATAATGATAATATAAATAATATAAGTAATATTAATAATGTCAGAATTTCTGACGAAACAATTTCAATATCAGAGGGTGGTCCATCACGAAATAATATATCAACAAATATATTATCACATCCTGATTATCATCATCTTACATCATCGTCAGTAAATTCAAGTCAAGAATTTTACGCAGCGAGTGATATGAGTGATTCATATTCTGGTGCCGATATTCCATTAACTGAATCTATTGACCAAGATCGGCCAAGAAATGATGGAGTAATAGGATTATTAAATCAATTTTATAAAGAAATAAATCACTCTTCAATGTAAAATCATGAAGGATGATGATGGTGATGGTGAATTAATTTATTATTATCGATTTAAAATAGATTTTTTTTTCTTTTTTTTCAGATTTGGGGGGAAATTGAGTTTTTATATCTTTTTTTTTTTTTTACACAATATTTATAATATATATATATATTTTTTTACTTCAATTGTTGACTGATTTTGGTAAGTTATCCATTTATTATTATTATTCATTTATTAAATATAAATTCAAGTTATAAAACCTCAATTCAAATTAAAAAGTACAAATTATAAATTCATTATCTTAAATTACTGCGCACTATCCAAAGGAATTATTTAAAAGAAAAAAAGGGTTGTGCGTAAAATATACATGTTACCCAAATTATTTTTTCCAAATCCCAAATTACTATTATATTATCAAATCCCAAATTATTTTATGCCGAAAATAATTTGGGAACATGTATAACGTAAAATACTTTTTATTTTTTTTTTTTTGATAGCTAAGTGAAGCCTTTGCCTCCAGTTTTATTTATTGTAAATTAAAACGTAAGTGATACGTGTTAACCCATTTTGTTTGTTAAATTTATGAGAACTCCTCACTACAGGTCATAAGCACAAGAACTTTTTGAGCCGTCCGTACTCTTAATTAGCTTATAAATATATATTGAAACTTTACAAATCAATTTAATTAATGACTTAAATTAGGTTTTTATAATAAAATTTTGTGTTATTTACATTTTAAAGTAAGTAATTTCTGTCAATGACAACACTGCCACGACAAAAGTATATAAATAAAATATTATTTACTATTGTTAATATCACAAGTGAGTAAAGTTAAAGCTTAGGAAATAAAGTTAAAAAAAAAAAAAATAAAGCTCAAAGAAATAATAATGTTCACTCGCGAAAGGTTATATGTTAAATATGAAGGTAATACACGTTAATATGAAAATAAAATAATGGATATAATGTCGTGGGTCTGTCCTTGGTTTTACATGTTTCTTTAAATAGGTCTCACTTAAGCTATTTAGAAATAATGATACGTGATTATGAAACACTTAGTAAACAGTTGCCTTCAAAATGATAGTTTATTTTATTTAATAAAGTCATTACGAGAAGTAGTGTTGTCGTTGGACAGTGCGGGGACAAAAATTACTTTTTTTTAAAACGTAAACAACGCAAAATTTTATTATAAAAATCTAGAATTATTAATTAATGATTTTTTTTTACATAAGCTAGATAAAAACCCAGGTACTAATGATTCGGGCTAAACTTGCCCATATTTTTTTATCTTTTAATTTTATTAATCTTATTGCTAGTAGTCCTAAACCTAAGAAAGTTTCTCCCATAACAAAAAAGTCCTTCTACATTTCGCCTTTTAGTTTAGCCCGTTGTGTCCTAAACCCTTTAGCCTGAATCACTACCAGGGACATGTAAATGTACAACACTGAAATGTTTGAGTGCCATTATTCTTAATTACTTATTTTGGTAATTATTTTATTAAAAACAAATAGATATTGATCGAATCATTTTATTAAGATGATCCAACCAAAATAGAACGCAAAAAAATTCTGAGCAAAAGGCAATCGATACAGACTGGATGTACACCAGACATCCACCAGGAATGTATTCCTTTGTTATTATAAAATTAGTTTTTGTCTCGAACAGGAAAATATAACATTTCCAAATTTTTTACATCTCGAGAAACTTCTGTTCATGTATGAAAATATTTATGATATTTATGATAATTATTGTTATTTATTGTTATTTATTATTACTTATTGTTCATTTATTGTCATTTGCACAAAATAAACCACAAAAACACAAAAACCACAAAACCACAAAATAAATCTCAGAATAAACTTTCGACACAATAAAAAAGTATCCAAAAAAGTATAAATCTGGTTGGCTTTTTTATAAATGTTTTAAGTGTGCCCTAACGATTTTATTATCCCTTATATATTATTATTAATTTTCATTGTTATTATCTTGTGAAAAAAAAAAAATTGGAAACTTGCCCCCCTTAATTAATTTATAATTTTATAAATTTATAAATTCCTGGAATTTTTTTCATTGTCGTAACGCTCTATTTTCTTCTAAACTATAGTATAAAAAAAAATAAATTTAGAAATAAAAATAAAAATAATTTCAATAATTTTTCGTTGTCGTTGTCCAAAATAATAATATGTCAAATTTTATTGAAGAAAAAGTTAGGTTCTCCGATCACAAATTAACCATAGATAATGATATTCGACTCAATTCCCTCACAAATATCAATAGACCACAAGTCTGGGCAATGGTACTATAAATATAACAATAAATTTTTATTGCATTATTTTATATATATATATATTTTATTTACCTAATTTAAATTAAAGACGCGTCAAGAATTATGCGAAACAGTTCCTTACTTTAGATCATGGCATGGGGGTGTTTATAATAAGAATGGCGTAGTTTGGGGATACTTATTAGATGGCTTTGGTGCCTTACGTGACGTTTGTAATGGACGTGTAATAATTTCACATGGGTATTTTTATCCTCCCCTTTTTTTTAAAAAAATTTAATCTGAGATTATCATATTTAATTATGAACAAAAAAAATAACAATTACGATAATTAAATATGAATGCGCCTCAAATTTTATTTAAAATATATATATTATTATTATTATACAGGGGTGGGAAAAGCTATAAACGTAACGACGGAAATTTCGGTCTTGTCGCGTCACAAATGTTGACAGATGTATCCGTGCGATCTTTATTAAAGAATTATTTGAATAAGCAACCATTAGCATTAATTGTGGGAAACAAAAAGCATGCTAAATTTAGAATTCCGGCGCGTTATTGTGTTCTTGGGTAAGTCAGGAAGTCGATAGTATTATTTATGGTATTATATTTCTAGCATTAAAAACCCACTTTTAAACACGTATTTCTTTTCTTATTTCTTTAGATTATATCTAATTACTCATGTTTGGGTTCGTATTAAATTCTAAAATATTCGACTTGATAATTTTCATATTATATATATATATTTCGTGTTCTATTGCATATCGGTTTATCAATTTTTTAGCCAGAATATGAATATTATAGTGTACCGATGGATGAAGGAAATATTACGGATGAGGAATGTATTATCGATGCAAATTTGCCTAATAATCATAATAATTCGAGTCGAGAAAATGGAAAAACAAGTTTTATTCGTTGGAAATTTCGATTTGAATGGGTTCCAAATCAAGAATTCCTACCTTGGTGGGAATCTCCCTGCGAAAATTTGATCAATTCCACAATCTTAATGAGTGAACTGATATCAATTGTTTGTCCTGAATGCGGACTTCCGTCAAATAAAATATATGCGAATTCATGGATTTGTCTAAATCACAATTGTAAACATTTTTGGCAGGTAATAATTCTTTTCATAAATTTGGAGAAAAAAAAATATATATCGTTGAAGATTTCTAATTGAACAAATATCAACTTATAGTCTTTATCTGACGATTTCATATGGGAAGATGTGCCAGAAAACTTGGATTACGTGAAATCATTTTTAAGCCCAGGATTAATAGATATGAATCAAATAATTCGAATTCCTTTTTCGATATTACCAGCTCAACCACCAAATGATTCGGATAATCTCATTGGACTATCATTCAGCTCACAACATTGGAAAGGTTATCACTGTCTTCGTTGTGGACGTATTTCTTGCCGATCTAGTTGGAAAGAATGGGTTTGTGCTAATTGTGAGGCAAGCAAAGATTTATCTTTTAATAAATAAGTAATAATAATAAATAATAAATAATGAGGATTAGTAAATAATAACAATTAATAATTAATACATTACATAAAAGACTATATATTCGGCACCATATCAAATATTGTTGCCATATTCACTTCGTGATTTAGATCTTCCGTTACTTATCGGTCCGGCTAAAGATTATGATACATGTATAAAGAGTGGTAGCCAAATTACTGTATCTCGCAATGTAGCTCCTGATGGTGCAATTATATGTCGATACGATTTTCCTGAAGGAGGATATATAATTCATAGGCTTGGAAACTTTTCTCTAAATGCAGTATCAGATGAGTTATTTAGAATTTTACAAAATAGAGATATACCTTTTAAGAGGAACATTGTAAAAAGTGGTAGTTTGAGAGGTAAATAGATATATCATATTAAAATTCATTATTTCAAAATATTTATTATAAATACGAAATATATGAAAATATTGTTTGTTTTATAATAGTTGGATCAGAATTACTTTCTCGTAATTTCACTATGAATATTGGAACAAATTATAAATTCTCGTTAGCGGTAGATACCTTACAATTTAATCAATGCCCAGAAGTTTTATATAGCACATTTCTTTATCTTACTGAAATGTGTTCACAACTTGTTCCTGGGGCTCAATTTAATGAGATGTTGGCAGTGGCATATTTGAAAAATCAAAAAGTTAGTTTTAATAATAAGTTTTATGTTAAATTTTATTTTTTATGAATATTAAAAGTATAATTAAGAGATTTTTTATTTATACACTTTAGATGAATTATCATGGCAAGTAATAATTAATAATTGCACGAAATTATATTAGTTATATTAGTCATATTAGAAAAGATTGATTTACTTATTATAATAGATGACGGCGAGAAAGGTGTTGCTCCGATAATTGGCAATTTATCGCTTGGATCTTCGGCAATGATTATGTTCCGTAAAAAGAAAACAAAAGCTTCAAATTCGATTACAGAAGAAAAAATTTTTTTTTCAAATTCTCAAGTTACTATGAATACAGAAAAGAAAAGAAAAACCTCAAATTCTCAAGTCAATAAAAATATAATTGTAAAAGATTGCAGTTTATCGTTAAGAAATCGTCGATATCTAAAAACTACTCTTGATCAATCTGAGGATATCATTGGTACATAGTTTTTATAATATTATAACAACTTCTTAATCATTTAATTTTTGTAAAAAAAAATTCTTTTTTTTTAGATATCGCCGTTACTGAGAAAAATGAGAAACTGCGCGCTCGCAAAAAAAAAGCTTCTTGCTCTCGTAAAAAAACTGGTTTTATAAATTCAACCCCACAAGCAGATTCAAATGCATCTAACACATTATCATCATCTGCTTCAGAAAAATTAAATTCTCGTGAAACAAATGTCGTTAAACTTCCTTTACCACCAGTTAATTCTACTGAAACTATTAATCAAGAAACATTTTCAGAGTTTCCATCTAATACTCTGGCACCAATAGACACATTTAACACCAAAAAAAATTCTCCTTTACCACCAATTTCAACTTTGGGATTCGATCTAGGAGATTCGAATACGAAAAAAATTCCAAATACTACCACTCCATTGATAATCAATTCAAATTCAGCACCGTATAGAGGTCTACCGGTTGATCATATGAAACTAGACTTGAACTTTCGTGGAAATGGACCAGATCTTGTCTTGAAATTAAATCATGGAGACATTTTATTGATGGTCGGAAAAAATATTCAAACATATTATGAACAGTAAGCATGAATATTATTTTTATCTCTCTCTTATCCAATCGTTACCATATTGTTATTATTATTATTTTTTTTTTTAAAAAAAATACATTCTATTTTAATACATTTAATAAATAGTGCTGTAAATCCCGAAGGGTTCCGTATAGCAGCTACAATACGTCACATTTCTGAAGAGTAAATACAATTAAACATAATATTAAAATGTTTCGTTCTACTACAAGTTCTTTTAAAGAACTCAATTAGAATTACTACACTTGCCTAACCAGTAGTCTTTCCCCTTGGTGAGATTAGCAAAACCCGTTTAAAAAAAGTTTATTTCATTAAAAGGATGTAACATGTACACGTGATTTGCTTATGATAGAATTTCTATAAAAGTAAATTTGTACGACTTGCCTAACTTTTCATATGAAAGTTTGATCTCCAAAAAAAACCTGAATGGAGATACGCGTATTAGGAAAATTCGTTCCTTTCGGTGAACAACATATTAAAAGTAAAGATATTACTGAAACAAGTAGTCAAAAACTTTACAATCAAAGTCATGATTTTTTTCAAAAATGTGAAACGAATGATTCATTTGTTGGTACTTCGAATTCTAATTATATACTCTATGAGGGCTTTGATCCTTCTACAAAGAATTCCAATGAAAGTAAAAATGTAGATGAGGAACTTTTTATCAAAAATAATACAGTAGTTTGGAGTAGATGTAACGTTTTACAAAAGAGTTTTAAGTTTGATGAACCAGTTCTTCAAGCTTTATTTGTCTGGTTTAACGCGAAAAAAGCCTCAATGAATAGTAATGAAATGCACGATTCGAAAATCACAAACAGACTTGAGAGACAAAGAGCACTATTTGTTCTTTTTCAAGATTATGCACGTGTATATTTCTTGGATGGACAGCATTTTCTAATTAGATTACCATCACCTGTAAGACATGCTTGGGCTATGAATTGTGGAGTCATTTTGCAATGTACAGTTGACGAGAAAAAGTCAAGTTTGAATAATTTTCCTTCAGGTTCTTTACCAATGTTATATAGTCTTTTAGATCCATTGGAAGAAATAAAGTCTGTTTCAATTGCAGATAAAATTATGTTAGATGAATTAAAAGTTAATATAAAAGGAAAGACGCGTCCGTTTACTGACACGGACGAAATAATGATATTTGTTAATGATAATGAAAGAGATATCAATCCTATTTTGGTAACATTAAATCGTCTAACTTTACGACATTCTATGTATCGATATGTTATCTGTAAAGAAAGAAATAATTCAATGAAAAAATTCGAAAATCAAAATTTTGCTTCATCATCTTCTCCCAGACCAATGCGAAGTCGAAGTAGTTCAAATGTTCGAGCTGATACACTTCAAAATTTTGATGGTAGAAAATCAATTGAAGATTCATTTCAAAATGTGGATGGAAGGAATTCATTAAATTCATTACAAAGTCTAGATCGATTTTTATATTATGATCACGATGAAATGCTTAATGAATTAAGAATAAAATCTGATTCCAAAAGTGAAGTATTTCTAGAATTAATATGGACAGAATCAATCGCTAAAATGTAATTATAAGTATTTATATATAATACTATTGATGAAGAATTATTATTTCATTTTAATAACTTATTTTATTTTTTCTGATATAAGTGAAAAACTTGAAAAGAGCGATGTATTCATTGTTCATGATTATGTTGGAAATGAAATTCTTTGTATTTTTTCTAAAAGTTCAAAGAATTTTATTGGATTGAACCTTCATAGTAGTCATTCTTCTCATGATTTTAAAGTTAATGTCAGATTTGAATTTAAAGTTGAAGGTGCTGCTCCTATATTAGCTACAAGACTTCAATTTTATGATATATTGTTTTTTAAGGAAGTAACAAAATTGGAACTTTGGATTGGTTATGGAAATCCTATTCCTTTAAATTATGATATCGAAATGATTAAATCTGAATTCGATTTTGAAGATAACAAAGAGTGGGAAAATAAATCTATTCCACGTGAAACTCTTCAATTACAGTATCGTAAATATTTAACATCTAAACAATCTCATCATCAATTTTCATCGGATACAGTTATCACTGAATTAAGGGATTGGGTTCACAATAGAACTAATTTAGTTTTTTTTAATAATAAAATTGTAAGGATTAGTTTGAACTTTATTCCAAGTTCTAAACTTGTTCGTTCTTGTTTAGAGGCTTTAAGTTTTGCTTTACCGACAAATTTATTCTTTGAATTTAAAGCAGAATATATGTTATTTCAGTATGGTACCGAAAAGGAAGATTCAAAAATACAAAGAGAAACAGAATGGGAAAGTTTTATTATTGTGTTATTATCATTTTTCCAATTAAATGAACGAAAATTATCTGGGAAAGAAACGGAAGAAACAAAAGAAAGCGACTGGGATTTTTTGATCGCGTCTTCTAAACACTCGAAATTTAATTTTGACAATCATTTTCTGTGTTTACGTCCTTCAATAACTAAAGAAAACTATACTATGATCAATTTATTAGAAAAGTCTCAAATTCTTCGTAAAAAAAATTATGATCATCGCAAAAGATTAGAAGAAAATTTGAGCAGTTTTCTACCTAGCATTCTTTTTTCTCTTCACTTGATTTATCAAGATTTAAGATTAAATGTTTTATCACAAAAATTTGTCAATGATATAATTCCATTATTGTTACAATTGGCAATATTTCTTGATTTGGATATATATGTTGATTATTATCAACAAAATTATGGTTTGCATCAAAAATTAAAAATTAAAAAAGGTCAGTTCGTTTTCTCTTTTGTTGAGGGTTTTTACTGGTCATTACAGATGTACAAGATAATTTATATTAAAATTTTAAAAATTTTTAAAATATTAAATTATTATTATTATTAAATTATTAAATTATAAATTTTTAAATATTTTTTTTTTCAGTCCATATCATGAAATTAAACTTAAATAATGATCATCCTTTTTTTATGCCACCTGATATTTTTAAATGGATTTTGAAATGTCTTCGATATGGAATTGAGAAAAATGAAAATTTTCCAAGTATAAAAAGTATTGGTCCAACTTTCTCTATTCCAAATATTCAAGAAAATTTGATTCACGAATTTGAATGTTCAAGAATTCAGAAAATAAATTCAATATATAAGAAACTAGTCACAGAAGGAGAAAAATCAATGATCCTTGAAATTGTTAATGTTGGATATTTCATTAAAGATATTGATTCTTTACCATTTGGTATTGTGGTTCCTTTGCGTGAAGCGATTAGAAAATGTCGAGAAAAACCTCCCGCAAATTGGCCAGGCGAAGCATATATATTAATTGGTATGTCATTTACACTCCTACACACACACTTATATATGATGTTTTAACGATCTATGATTTTATATTAAAATAGGTAGAGAAGATTTGGCTGAATTATCATATGGTGTCCCAATTGGATACATTCATACTCGTGGTAACAAAATGGTGCGAATTTAATATTATTGATGAATCATTTCTATTATATTAATTATTATAATTAATACTTGGGGGAATATTTGAATATTTAGGAACCAAAACCACAAAGTATTTTACAAATTATTGATTCAACGATTCATAATTCTTCATCGACACAAAATCAAAAAGATGAAGACAATACTGGCACAGAAATTTCAAATCATGAAATTACTGATTTGAGATTTGGAAATGATAAAAGATTAATAGAAGTTCAACGTCTTTTAAAATCTTGTGATGTTGTAAAAACTGATTTTCCTAATCCAGATTTAAGGTTTGTTTTTGAATTTAAAGAATTTTTAAAAATAATTGAAAAAAGTTCATTGATTAATTTTGGTTATGTTAAAAAAAAAAGTAGCAATCAAAACGAAGAAATTCCACCACAGGTACTTGAACGTGTTCAAGCACAATGTTTAAAAAATTTTTCGCAACCTGTTGGTAGAGGAATATTGACGTATGGTACAGCGACACCAATTGTTACAGAACCTTTTCCAATACCTGGAATTAGTTTGACTATTAAAGTTTTACCCATAAATATTCTTGTACAAATTGATCGAGCAATTCGTTTTCCGGAAAGTATTGAATGGCCAGAATTTCATGATGGAGTAGCAGCTGGTTTACGAATTCCTTCAACATTCACTATCGAAGGATCGTGGATTTCACTTAATAAACCTAAAGAACTTAACAATAGTCACGCAGGATTCTTATTAGGATTAGGATTGAATGGACATTTAAAATCTATGGCAACATGGCAAGCAGTTGATTATTTAATGAAAACTCCAAAACATGATATTACAACAATTGCGTTAGTATTAGGTCTAACAGCTTCATATATAGGAACAATGAATAATGAAATTACAAAATTTGTAGCTGTACATGTGACTGCAATGTTTCCTCCCAAATCTACCAGTTTAAATGTTTCACCTCTTGTTCAAACTGCATCCATTCTTGGATGTGGTTTGCTTTATATGGAAACTTGTAATAGGTATATGTCACAGATCATGCTTGCCGAAATTTCCACAAAAGCTTTAAAAACACCTGATAATTTTGAAACTGATTTTACGGAAGGTTATTCACTTGCTGCAGGACTAGCATTAGGATTTATAAATTTAGGTAAAGGTGATAATGCACTTGAATCATTAGATTTAGATTTATTTAAAGAATTACGTACATATATTAATGGAGGTAAAGGTTTTACCAAGAAATCGACAATTATATCAAGCGGAGGAGGAGGATCTGGGTATAATACCAATGAAAATAATGTAAATATTACATCACCAGGAGCAACGATTGCTCTTGGATTATTATATTTAAAAACCAACAAAATTAATATCGCAAATAAAATTCCAATACCGGAAACAGAATTTTATTTAGATTATGTTCGACCAGATTTTCTTTTAATTAGGATACTTGCGAAAAATTTGATAATGTGGGATAATATTCAATCTAGTACAAGTTGGGTAAAAAGTCATGTTCCTCAATATATGAATACCAAATTGGAACTTAGACGTAGAATTGATTGTGAAAATTTGGAATCAATTAAGAGAGCATATTATTTCATATTAGCAGGGGCTTGTTTTAGCATGTCATTAAAATTTGCTGGATCTTCGGATAAAAACGCACTTAAATGTTTACTTTATTATCTTGATTTTTTTATGAAACTTGAAAGTGAACGAACATTAGGTATTTATTTTATTTTATTATTTAAATTATTAAATTATTTAAAATTATTAAATTATCAAATTATTAAAATTATTAAAATTATTAAATTATTAAAATATTTTAAATTAATTTTAATTTCCATAATTTTTAGCAACTTTTGATTCAAATATTACATTATCTGCAATCCGAATTTGTTTAAACGTTTTAGTAGTAAGTACTTCTATCGTTGCTGCAGGTAGTGGAAATCTTGAAGTCATGAGAAGAATACGTAAACTTCATAAGAAAGATGTAGATATTAGTAATTCAAATTCTTATGGATCTCACATGATAACAAGTATGGCATTAGGTTTTCTATGCCTTGGAGGAGGAAATTATACTCTTTCAACATCAAATAAAGCGATTGCTGGATTGGTTAGTTCGTTATTTCCAAGATATCCTATTGAACCTTATGATAATCGTGCTTATTTACAAGCTTTTAGACATTTATGGGTATTGGCAGTTGAAAAAAGATGTTTAATATTGAGAGACATAGAGACAAGGGAAGCTTGTCATGTACCAGTGAAAATTACTTTCAAAGATTTATATAATACCGAAATAGTTACCAGAGCTGATGGTGTTAAAGAATTTCATGTTGATTCCAAAACGAAAGAATCAGTAGCACCATGTTTATTACCTGAATCGGAATTTATTCAAAAGATTGAAATAGATAGTCCAAGATATTGGTCAATACAATTGGAATTCGGAAAGAATTCAGAATATGATCATAGATTTTGGAATAATCCGACTTTGTATGTAAAAAGAAAGACTGGACATTTAACTTATGCCGAGGTTAAGAATCTTATTTTATTTAAAATTTAATAATTTATTTAATAATTTATCTGATTATGAACTTTTTTTTTTATTATTAGGATCCACAAGGTTTAAGAGATTTATTTGCCCGAATTTTTCCGGACGGTAAATCCTTGTTAGGATCCAAAGATTCTTTACTGAAAAATCAACAAAAACTTGATTTTATTAGAATTTTTTCATCCGATCCACAAGTTCAAGCATTTTCTCGATACCTTTGTGAAGATTTTAAGATTAATGTTGATGATGTGGGAATAGATTTATCAACCTTTTGTAATTCGATTCTCTCAGAATGTTTAAATGCAGATAAAGTTGAAGCGATTCAAATATATTTGGAACTTTATCAAATTCAACGGAATTTGGAAAAAGTGAAAGAATATAATTTATGGAACGTCTTATTAATTTTAGAATATTATAAAAATATTACAAAAATTACAAAAAAAAATATTATTGAGTGTAAAAACAAAAAAAATCAGCATGAAGAAGATGTAACTCTTATAAAACAAGAATATATTTTATCATTGAGAGTAATAATGGATCGATTTTTTGAGATTCCATTTGAATTCTTTAAATCATCATCATCATCATCATCATTCAACACGAACACAACCACGAATAACATGAACAAGAATAACACGGATACAACCACAACCACGAACAATAACACGAATAACATTACCACCACCACTTATCCAGATTATCAATATTTTCAATACTTTTCAAATATATTGAAATCTTACCTTAATAATTCAAAATTTCCTGCCGCCGAACAAATTGGAGGTGAAGAAAATAAAAATAGATTATTAAAATATTTAACATCTTGGCTCATTTATCATGAAATTCCTGATAAATATAGTTTATCTAGAACTATGGAATATGTTAAAGAATTAAAAAGAAATTTGAGCAATAATAACGACAATAATAATAATAATAGTGATGATATAATTTTACAAGTTCTTTCGACTGTTTGGTCAAATCTTTCTAGTAACACTTTAAAAATAATCATACATTGTTTAACTTAAGCATTATGTACATTTTTTTATTATTATTTCAATAAAGAGATTTATTTCTTTTCATTAGTGTATTATTCACAATATAATAATTTTAATAACAAAAATATATATATATATTTTTAAAAATTCATTCTTTATTTTTTTTTATTATACGTTTCGCGTTACATTTTACCGAAAGTGTTCTTAAGAAATCGTGAAATGTTTAATACAAGAAAAATTGAAATGAAAGCTGAATGATGATGAATTGAATCAAATGAATAATAATGAATGAAAAAAATGAAGAGAAAAAATACTGTCCAACTAAAAAAAAAAATTAATAAAGTTTATCCACCAAAAAAAAAGAAAAACGCATACATATATAATTCTAAGTTAAAAAAATAAAAATCAAAAAAATGTAGTTTCTTATTTCCTCCTTCCTTTAATCCTTTTCTCCTAATAAAATTACTTTTGTTGAATGAATTTAAAAAAATCTAATTTAATCTAATTTATTTAGAACTAGTATACTTAGTTACAGCCTTAGTACCCTCAGATACAGCATGTTTCGCCAGTTCACCTGGTAAAATTAAACGTACGGCGGTTTGAATTTCTCTTGAAGAAATAGTTGATCTCTTATTATAAGCCGCAAGTTTGGAAGCTTCACCCGAGATACGTTCGAAAATATCATTAACGAATGAATTAAGGATTGACATCGCCTTATTGGAAATACCAGTATCCGGATGAACTTGTTTAAGAACTTTATAAATATAACTTGAATAAGTTTCTTTTCGAACTTTACGTTTCTTAGTTTTTTCGCCAGTTGCGGTGGTAGTGGACTTTTTAGGATCTTTCTTTTCGGCAGGAGTTTTTGTGGCAGGAGCTTTACCGGCTGTGGCAGGTTTCTTTTCAGCTTTTGGACCCATTATTGTTATTTGTTATTATTAATAATAATTTATTAATTTAAAGTGATAGATTTATTTTTTATTGATACGAGTGGAGTGAGTTGAGTTGAGTAAGAGATGAAAACTTTTCTTGATAAAAAATGTTGAGGTAAAGAAAATCTTTAATTTTTGTAAATATGGTATATGCAAGAATATAAACGGGGATAACGTCGAAGAAAGTGTCTTTATATAAAAAAAATCAATTTGATCTGAACGCGTAAAAAAATCATCATAAACATTGTAAACGTTGTAAATAAACAAAAAAAATATAAACAAATATTAAAAAACAATAAATAAATTAAATGTGTTTTGATATTTGATATCAGCAAAATAAAAACATAAAAACAAATAGAAAACTTTAATTTTTCGCGTAGATCAACAAAAGTCAACAAAAAGTTATTCTCGTGACGTTATTATAAATAAAAATAACTTCACACGTTAATATTTATTTATTTATTTATTATTTATTTTTAACCGTTATTTACATTATTTTTTTTGTTTATATTTTAGAAGAGAGACACGTTACCTAAATCATAAATTTAATAGTTAATAATTGGTCATAAAAAAGCGCGGCGTCAGAATTTCCTATAAAACCACCATCATTTTTATCTACTCACTTTTTTCCAATTTTAAATTTTAAATTTTCTAAATTTTCTTAAAATTCTGTCCATCTATCTCTATTATTGCTATTACCTATTATTTTTTATAAAGCAAAAAATACTTTATTTTTAAAAGAATAAGAACTATTCGATATTACTATTATTATATTTTATCACATTTATCTTATACTTTATAATAACTTTCAAACAAATAAAAGAAAAAATCTTTTTTTTTCATACTTTATAAAATAATAAAATAAAAAATGTCTTCAGGAGGAAAATCAGGAGGTAAATCTGCAGCAGCCACCACGACCAAAGCAAGTTCATCTCGTTCAGCCAAAGCGGGTTTACAGTTTCCAGTAGGACGTATTCATCGTTTACTTCGTAAAGGAAATTATGCACAAAGAGTTGGAGCCGGAGCACCAGTTTACCTTGCAGCAGTTTTAGAATATCTTGCTGCGGAAATTCTTGAACTTGCGGGAAATGCGGCACGAGATAATAAGAAGTCAAGAATTATTCCTCGTCATCTTCAATTGGCTATTCGCAATGATGAAGAGTTAAATAAATTATTAGGACATGTTACGATCGCTCAAGGAGGAGTTCTGCCGAATATTCATCAAAATCTTTTACCAAAGAAATCAAAGAAAGCCGCAGCTGCTGAAGCCTAAAAAAAAAAATATATATATACATTTTACCACCACATACACATACATATATTTTCACATTTCGAACAATCATGTATATAAAAAATTATTTTCCTTCCTTTCCTTCTTTTTTTCCTTTTCTTCCTTTATACATCATCTTTTTTTATATATATATATATATGCAATATTACATTCAATATAAAGATTTAGATACAAAAATCATAAATATAACTGTCTATTGAATAAATAAAAAATTTTTAAAAAAAAATAAAGAATAATTATCTCTTTGAAGTGTATTATTAAGTTTAAGTTTACTAATCTTTTAAAACGTTCTTTCTTGCCACTTGACGAAAAATCCAAGGAAAGATCTATGAATCTATTAAATTACTAATATTAATATTACTCCTATTTGTCTATTTATGAAAAAAGATAGATCGGGATCGTGCTGTTAAAGACAAAATTTAATTATTACAGGCAGAGAACGTTGTAACCTTCTACAGTCAATAAATAATATTTTCTCAAATCTCATATTTCTCATACAAATGTTAAAGAAATTGGTTGCGTCATTCATTCACTTTATTGTATATATTAAATGTGTGTACAATTTACCGTGTAACTTCAAAATATATATATATATATATATATAAAAGAATCTTAAAAGAATATCAAAAAAAAAATATATATATTAAAAATTATGGTAAGCAATAAGAATGTTATATATATATATTTTTAAATAATGAATTAAATAAATTGAAATATTATTTATTATCAAAGACTAGTACTACAACGAATCTTTCACATCAGAGTCGAAAAGTTGTAACAACCGATGAATGGAATAAGAAGTTATCAGATGTCAAAATTGACAAAGCGTATGTCACAATATAAATGTGAATTTCACGATTTGTAGTTGTCTTTTAATACTATTCAAATATTTTATATATTTTTTATATTCTTTTAAATATTAATATTGTATTAAATAATAATAATATCTTAATAATAATAATTAATAATAATAATAATAATAATAATAATCATAATTATCATAATTATCATAATATACAGAGATCTTAATAAATTGATTATGAATTATTTCGTAATTGAAGGATATAAAGATGCAGCAGAAACATTTAGTCAAGAATGTGGATTATCACCAAGTATTGATGTTGATTCAATACAAGATCGAATGTATATTCGTAATGCTATTCAAAATGGAAATGTTGAAGAAGCAATTGAACGTGTAAATGATTTAAATCCAGAGGTAAAGTGATAATTATTAATTAATTTAATAAATAAATTAATAATTCTATTTTATTAAGATAATAATTTATATAAATTCAATGATTATAAAGTGTCTCATGCACCACTCTCAGATCAAATATTCTTTTTTTTTTGATCGGTGATGATAAACAAAATACACTCAATTAAACTTCAGTCTTCAATATGAGAATTTAAATAAATTATATAAATTATATATAAATTATATAAATTTTAATTTTACAATATTCAGCTTGAACAATTTAATAATAATAATAATAATAATAATAGTAATAATAATCTTTACTTTAGATATTAGATACGAATCCCAAATTATTTTTCCATCTTCAACAACAACGATTGATTGAATATATTCGACAAGGGAAAATAGCAGAAGCATTAGAATTTGCTCAAGAAGAATTAGCACCACGTGGAGAAGAGAATGTATGTTATCATTTTATATCTCATTTATATAATAAACCATTTATATACTATTTTATATATCATTTATTTATTATTTATTCATTATTTATATATTAAAAAATAATATGAACATAAATACAGCCAGAATTTTTGGAAGAATTAGAACGTACGATGGCATTATTAGCATTTGATGATACGGCGGTATCACCAGTTGGAGATTTACTTCATTCATCACAACGTCAACGTACAGCCAGTGAATTAAATGCAGCTATTTTAACTTCTCAGAGTCAAGAAAAAGATCCAAAACTTCCGAGTATGTTAAAAATGTTAGTTTGGGCTCAAGATGAATTAGATGAAAAAGTTATTTTTCCTAGAATGAAAAATCTTGTTACTGCTGAATTAGTTGATATCAATAATAATAATAATAATAATAATAATAATAATAATAACAACAATAATAATAATAATAATAATACTAATAATAATAATAATACTAACAATAATGCATCAACAACAACAACAAATACACTTACAAATACAATTACAAATACAATTACAAATAATAATACTACAAATAATTCATTTGTTTCTTCCTCATGATTTTATTCAATTTTATTTGATTTCTATCGATTTTTATTCGATTTTATTGATTTATTTGATTTATTGTACAAAGGATTTTTATTTAAAAAAAATAATTGAATAATAATTGAATATATATATGAATATATATGAATATATATGAATAATTGCATCAATTTATTTTTGTAATTTATGATAATGTTTAATTCATTATCTTTTTAAAGTTATCAATAGACAATACATCATAATTATTATTATTATAACCATTATTACTATTATCACTATTATTATCATCATCTATATTCATAGTATTCATAGCATCTAAAGTATCCATAGTATCACTTTTATTCATAGGTGGCACATTATCCCTTTTATCCATAGGTGACACATTTTCCTCTGTATTGTTATTATCATCATTCTAATTTTTAATAATTTTTAAAATGTAAATAATTGTAATTAATATATATTTTAAAAACAATAAATTCCTTCTTTTTTTTAATTTAAAATTTTAATAAAAAAAAAACCTGATTGAAATTAATGAAATTAATTGTAGTTGAATTGTGTTGAGAATAAATTATCATATCTTCTTCTTTATCATTTCTTTCTTCTTCTTTATCACCTCTTTCTTTTTCTTTATAATCTCTTTTATCACCTTTATTTTTATCATCTCTTTCTTCTTCTTCTACTTCATTAATTAAATCAATTATTGGATTTTTCATTTCAATTTCTTTTTCAAATTCATCTTTTAAATTTCTAACATAAACCTGAAGAAAAAATAATAATAATTATTATTATTATTATTATTATAAATATACATACATACATATATATTATATATATGTGTGGGATTTAATTATTTACCATAACATTTCTTTCTGAACAAAGTATTTCTACTTTTTGAATGAAATCATGAAATTTCATTTTTGGACATAAATCATGAGCCCATGCTTGATAAAATCCAATTAACTTGTTTAGATTTCTTTCCTAAATAAAATAATAATAATAAAAATAATAATAAAATAATATAAATAATAAAATAATAATCATAATGCAATGATATTATTTACTGTAACTTGATTCTGGTCTTTATTATTTTTACTCAATTCTTCAAATCTTAATTTTTGTGCATCATCAAGCACTTTTTTAAGTCCTCTATCTGATACTAACCTATGTTAAATATTTAAAATATTTGAAAATAAAAATTAATAAAAATTAAAAAAAAAAAAAAGAAAAAAAAAGAAAAAAGAAAACCGTTTATGATATTATAATTATAATTTTTTTCTACATTGTAAAATCTAATTTTGGACCTCTTCTTCTTGACGTGTGCACTTTTACTTTATCATTTTTATTGGATTTAATATTTTTATAATTATTATGAATTTTATGATTTTTATTACTTTTATGATTTTTATTAGTTGTTTCCTCAAATATGTCATAATTATTAAGCAAGTCCTCTGGATCTGGATTCATGATAATTATTAATACAGTTATTCTTATTTGAATCCTTTTTGAAAATGTTAATGCGGTAATTGCAAAAAAAAAAAATGAAAAAAATGAAAAATGTGTCGCGTATCTGTACAATCAATTAACGCGAGGTACTCAAACACGTGTCCTCCGTATTTCCCTTAAATAAAAAAAAAAATATTATTGTTAACAGTTCTACTTTCACCATACAAATGTTTTGAACATTATAGGATTTTAAACGAAAGTAATGAAAAACTGTTCAACTGAAGATATATTTATATATAAAAAGTCTTAAGTACATTATTAAATCTAAGAAAAAAAAACGCGAAAAAGTAGAACAGCTCTTAAACAAATATTATTAAAAGTAAAAATCTTTTTTGTTGGAAAGTTGTAGAAAGTGGTGTAACGTGAATCTCTTTGTTTCTTGACAAAGAGCTAGTGTTAAGGGCACAAGCAATCTCTTTGTTTGGCTGATGCTAAAGTCTCTTGGTCTATTCGATGGGTCTCTTTTAGTCTACTCGATGGGAAAAAGCACATTACTTAGAATGTTATTAATACCTTGAATCGTCTGATTTTTTATTTCGCGAGACAATAGAAACAATGGAAGAATGTGCATAAGGTATTCAGTGGTCCTTCAATTCACTTTCACCAAATTATAGATAACAAAGTATTTGAGGTCAATAATAAATCATTTAATGTTAATTGTATTAAAGAAAAAAAAATTTGGGAAGAAGTCCAAGAAAAAGGTAAGATATTTTTATGATTTATTTCTTCAGGAATTGAATGATGAGATGATAATTCTTTTGAACAAAATTCAACAAGTACGCATAAGAAATGGCAAAAATCAGAAAATTATAAACGAACAAACCATTTCCAATTAAATAGATTGGGAGGATTATTACATTAAAGTGAATCTTTAATAGTTTCTAATTACATCTTCAGCCTATATCTTTATTAATGATGATATTCATGAAAGTTTGTAAGATGATTTATACTAGCATTGTATTCAGTCCAAAAAAAAAACAATTTAAAGTTTATTTGTGATCAAGATATGGCTCAAGTTTTTTTCTAACTAATGTAACTCCTCTTGTTTTAATTAAATTCACTTGGGAGAATTTGGCATTAAAGAAATTTGTATAAATTTAAGAAATTATTGGATAAAGCTTTTGGAAATAGTTTGTTATCATATATTAATTACATGGTTAAAAGAGAATTTTTAATTTTTAAAACTACGCATATTCTGTACTGTATTAATGTTTAATCATTTTTAATACATTTCTCAATTTCCTCTGATCCACACACCATTTCCTTCTCAACAATCCTTTGGCAAATTCATTTTACTGAAACACTCGATTAACTTGAATTAAAAAGAAAATGTAACAATGGTTTCAACTTGTCAATATTCATGAGCTTGCTAAAAGATCCTTAATATTGTAAATTTTTTAGATAAAATTGTAATGTAAATTTACAATCTTACTAATTTTACTACTAAACTTTGTGTAATAATAAATGCATATTTTATTTTTTATTAAATTTTTGTCAATTATTGTTACATATAAAACTTTTAATTTTAATAAGTAAATATCATTAGATAATGAAACAATTGTAAAATCTTATACTTTAAAATTGAAATAATTATAGACATTTAAATAGTGAAGTTTTTAAATGATTATTCTTTGAATTCTTATCAATATATCTAAATTTAGAATTTAAATATATTTTATTTCTATCTTTAAGTTTGTTTTAATATTACTATATAATGACTTTCATAAAGTATTTACAATTTTTATTTTTAATTATTCAAGTTTCAAAATGATGATAATTGCAGATTTGCAAATAATTGTGAACTGCAATAATTGTAATACAGAAATAATATTATAATTCACAATTCATAATTATTATCTCTACTGCCATTCATAAGATTAAATAGCATCTGACGATCTTGTTCTGTAGGGCTAAAGTTCGCTAAGAAATCATTTCCAGTTTCTTCATCTTCTAAATCAAGTTCGTCATGATTATCTGGATCATATCCTAATTGAGATGTTAAAGATGTCAAGTAATCGACATTCGCATCCAAATTATTTATTCTATCTTCAAGCTCAGAAATGGTATCACTGTTCTCAATATTATTGTTGTTAAGAAGGCTTTCTCCACTTTTTGAAATGTCGGAGTCGGTTGTAGGAATAGTTGCGGATATAGCCGTAGAACCAGTTGTAGGAAGGGTTGTAGGGATAATTGCAGAAATAGCCGTAGAACCGGTTGCAGGAATGGTTGTGGGAATGGTCGTAGGAATGGTCGTGGGAATGGTTGTGGGAATGGTTGTGGGAATGGTTGTGGGAATGGTCGCGGGAATGGTCGTGGAAATGGTATTGGGAATGGAAATGGTTGTGGGAATAGTTGATGAATTATTATTATTATTATTATTATTATTATTATTATTATTATTATTATTATTATTATTATTATTATTATTATTATTATCACTATTATTATTATTATTATTTGCCGAAGCTATTTGATTAAGAATTTGATCAGATTGCGATTGAAGCAAATTAGTGAAATGAGATGGATCCAAGAAATCGGCTGTATCATTTATTCCATCTGATGAAGCAGCAGGCAAAGAATTAAATAAATCAAACGATGATAAGTTGTTGTTAGTGTTGTTATTGGTATTGTTGGTGTTGTTATTAAAGTTGTTGTTAGACGATGAAGGATTATCCACTGCAAGAGATGCGAGTATAGCTAATGCTGCTAATATTTTAAAAGTATTTTAAATATTTTGATAGAAAAAATATATATATAATAAAAATTATAAGTTAATTGAAAGGATAGTAAAGAGATAATAATATTTTACCTGGATTGCTCATGCTCAAAATTAAAGAATTTAAATCATTTTCAGTTGTAGAAAGAGGAGGATTAGTAGTTTGATTTGATCCCATCATTTCTCGATTTCCATAATCAGTGTCAGAATTGCCTAGTAATAATCTTCGTTTTTTTGGTACGATGGCCCTCTTTTTTTCAGCGGAAAACACTGATGCTAAAAATCTTAAAATTTTATCGATCGTCTCTTGTTGACGACGATGTCTATCTCGCGCTGTCATAGTTTCTTGCCATAAAACCTGACTATCCCTTTGAATATTCTTTAAATCTGTACTAATAGTCATTTGATGTTTCTTAATTGAAGCAATTTCATTTAGTATATGATTAAAATCAATTTCACTCGGTTCTTTAATATTCTCTGTATCTTTCCCTTTCTTACGAGTGACAAAATATAAAAGATCAGGTTGATTTCTCAAAAAATTCGTATTACTGAATTCCCATTGTTCTGATTGTCCATCGGATTGAAGTACTCCTTGTTGTAAATGCGGTATCTTATGAAATCCATACATATTCAATTGCCTAACAAAACTGCTAAAATTATTATGTTTGAAAAATCGTGGAAGGACTTCCTTAGCAAAATCTTGGGGACGTTTTACTAAGATGATTGTTCAAGTAGTTCAAATTTTATTATTAATACAATTAAATAATTAATCATCTCAAAAGGAATTGATAAAACTTAAAATTTACCTAAGAAAGAATTTCCAGATTCGGACCAAATGATTAAGTCGTTGGACTGCGGATCGTTCACCATACTAAATTAGATTTAAATATTGGCCAAATGCGAGAACAAAAAAAAAAATTTAAAAAACTAGAACTTCTATAATCGTTTGTAGATATTATATTAAATTTTAATTTCTCACTTATATAGTTTGTTCAAGAAGGCCGGCACACTTCTATTTCCGGCTTTTGTCGGAGATCTCGGTGCAGCGTTACGTAAGGAAGGTGCTGATAGTATATAGTTCGAACTTTCTGGAGAATCTGCTGAGACATACCCTAAACTATCAGTGGGAGATTGGGGAACAGGTGCTGGTCTTTTTCTTGGATTGGTTGGATTAGGTGAATGTGTAGGAGTAGCAGGCTGTTTTCCAACTTCCGAATGTGCTTGCTGCATTTCTTTCAATTCAAAATTTTTTTTCAAAAAAAAAAAACACAGAAAATATTTATATCGATGCTTCTAATAGGAAATATTTATTTATACGACACGTTAAAGAAGAAATTAAAAATGCTCTCTTGGCTTCTTAAAGAATCGCTTTGATAAAACGGTGATGTTGAAATTGTCCGCGAAATTCAACTTTCATTGTATATTTAGCACGTGATATTAGGTTAACCATGTGAAATAATGTCACTACGTTTTTTTTTTTTTACATACATAATTATTTCATTAAACTTTAATCAATTTATTTTTTTTTAAAAATGTCACCAGTTACAACAAAGATCCGTCATTCAGGTTTACAAATTGAAGTAATAAATTTCTATCGAAAATGTTTTAGAGCCATAAGAAAAAAGCCATTGGTAGATATTATCAATTATATTTTAAAAAGAAAATCAAAACTAATAAATTTAATAAATTCTAATTTATTCTCAGGAAACAAGAAATCGATTTCGAAACTTTGTAAGAACTCAATTCCAACAACACAATTTATTGCCAAAAGATCATTCAGCAATAGAATATTTGTTACGAAGAGGAAAAAGACAATTGGAAGTTTATGAAAATGATAACATTAAAGATATTCATATATGATTATTATCATATAAGTAATAACACAATCACAATCTAATGCTGCCATCTTCGGGGGGAATACAACCAATATCGGATGGAGTTGGTCCATCCTCTTATGTGCTATTCCATAATCTAATCCATTTGGAAGACTTCAAGAAATAGGCAGATAAGACAGGAGGTGAAATATATTCTTTGAAATGAGTATCTTGTGACATTGGAACCACGTTTTCTATATACAGATTTTGTACATGTTACTATAGTCACTAAATATCAGTAAATTCAGTAAATAAAGTTTACATGTAATAGATATGTAATGTATGCATGTTGTTAAAATTATTGAATTTAGTCGGATACAATTATTTGATGCAATTACATAGAAGCAATTAAATTTCAGTAATTGAGTTGAAAACTTTTTACTTTGTATAATGTAATGTGTCATATACAGTAATTCACAAAAGTAATGCAACACCTGACTTTTTGTCTTAAAAATTATATTTTATAAATGACGGATTTTAAAATAATTGTTACTAAGCTCATTTTAATCTTTAAGTTTTTTGAGATCAAATTAGTATAACTGATTCTGTGTAATAGATAATCTACATTGTAAATTGTCACTTTATAAGATTGATGTTCTTTTTACAGAGAGTTAGTATACTAAATTTCACAACAATTTGATTATTGGTTACAGAGAAATTAACTCTTGAAAATTTTAATTTTTGTAACTACTAGTTCAATTGTTATGAAATTTAATATATCAACTCTCTGTAAGAAGGACAATTAATCCTATAATCATCTTTGTTCTGTTCTGCATTTACAATTGAAATTTTATTAAGTAACAATTTATAATATAGATTACCTGTTTACAGTTTCTCAAGGAATCAGTATTGAACTACATTTATAGAGAAAATGCATTTTAGATAAGTGTTATTAATGGATGGAACTGAAGTATAGGATATATTTATAGAAACATGTACATTATTAATTTGATATCAAATATATCTTAAAAAAATCTTCAAAACTTAATTAAAATAAATTTAGTAACTATTGCTCTAAAATCTATCATTCATATAGTAGAATTTTTCAAAGACAAAAGTCAAATGTTACATTACTTTCATAAGTCATTATATATTGTATATTATATTTATAATCATAAAATTTAATTAGTTAAATAATTTTATTAAATAAAATAATTTTCAAATAATAAAGTTTATTAATAGTTTAAATTATTATAAATAAGAATTTTATTTTTTATTAAATCTTCAAATAGATTTTGTTTAGTAATTTTAGATATTAATAAAAGAAAATATATATATATAATAATAATAAAAACAATTTTTATTAATATAATATTAAAAAAATAATTTTTAAAAAATATTACATTTATATAATATTTTATTATTAAATATTTTAAAAACTAATGTAAAATTATTATTAAAATATTAATAAAATATAGTATTAAAAGTTTTATTATATATGTTTTCAAAATAAAATAGATATTTTGAAATTTTAAATATCTATTCTATAGTATAAAAGTCAATAATCAAAAATTTTAATCTCAAATAAAATTAATTTAATATTTACAAGCCAAATTATCATATTGAAAATAAATTCCAATTTTAGCTAATTTATAATATAAAATACAATAGGATGATGTTACTATTTTTTTTTCTTCTCTTCTCATTTGATATACTTTTATACCATTATATCTATTTGCTATATCTTATTACCTTTTTATTTTTTTCAAATAATCTTTCTCTTATTTGTCACACATTCTTTTTATCTTTCTTCTAATTTAATTATCAATAATTATTATTATTTATTATTACTTACCTTCATATATCTACTTACCTTATATCATCTTTTTTATTTTCATCCTTTTCTCAAATTTCCCATCCTATTATTGTCCTTTAAAAATTTAATCTTTACTTCTTTCTTTTTCACTTATATTTATATTTTTTCAACTGCACCAATTATATATCATGTAATTTTTCATATTGTATACTGTAGAAATTACGAATATTACAGAGAAAAAAAAATGCTAAAATTTATAAAGATGTGATTACTCTTTCAGCAAAACACTACTAAATCATAGGAGTAGTAATAACTATAAATTGTCATCACCTTTACAGTGACCATCTATTCAAGATTTGATACTAATTTGATATTTTCATTTTTTTTTTTTTCTATCTTATTTTTTTTATCATGTAATAAATAGAAATAATTATATAGTCTTGAGTGAAATCACTAATAAATTAGAATAGATTTTTTATTTTCTTTATTTTCTTTATTTCTTCTTATAATTTCTTTTTTTCTTTAATAAAAACTTTATTTTTTATATAATAAATACATTTTTCATTCTTATTTTCTTTATTTTATTTCTTATTTTAATATTAAACTTGTAAATTACATAGTCTTGAATCTTAAATCTTGAAATAAATTATAGTCAACTTCCCTAAAGTCACTTCTTATATAATCACTTCTCCTCTTAGATCATATTTGTACTTAATTCTAATTTTTTATATATAAAATTTTCTTTTTATAGTTACAATATTATATATAAATATAATAACATCACTTGTAAGTTCTGATATTATATGAATATATAGAAAAATTCTTTTATATAATCACAGGATTTTTTTTATATTATATAATCTTATGTAATGTAAAAAATTTTCTTTTTTTTTAATTAATAAATTTGAGGTAAGATTTTACTAGAACAAAAAAAAAATAATAATAATCACAGGATTTTTTAATATAATTTGTAAAACTTATAAAATCTTTCAAAAATACTAAAATCATCTAGATCATCTGTTAATATTCAAAATACTTAAAATACAAAATAAAATTGTATTACTATTAGTATTGATATAAAAAAAAAAATATGAATATATGTTAACAAATTCTAATCTAAATCAAGTTGCAATTGTATTTTTTTTAATATCAAATATATAAAATTAAATATCAATTAAATAATTATTAGTAAAATATAAAAAAATCAGTAAAAATAATTAATAATACTTTCAAATTTTCAAATCTCACAAACTTTTCAATAACGTTTTATTCAGTTTTCTAAACTAAATAAAATAATACAAATTTGAACATTTCAAATAATAGTAGTAGGACTTTTTATATCCAATATGATATTAAAAGAAAAGATTTAGAATTTGCTAGAATATTTAATATAAAAAATAAATTAAAATATGTAAATAGTTGGGTTTATAAATTCAAATTAAAAAATGGATTACAAAAATTTAATTTTTCAGGAAAAACTAATAATACACCACTTCATACTCTTTCAGAAGAACGTACAAGGTTACATATAATTTTAGATAAATATAGTAATAATATTTATAATATTAATAAAATGAACTTTTTTTTCAAATAGAACTTAATCAAATACTTAGTATAGAAGCAATTGCAGGTTAAAAAAAAGTAATAGATTTTAAATTATTTTTTTTTAAATTATTTTATTATTTTTTTAAATTTATTTTAATATTTTTTTAATTATTACTAATTTAACTTAATTAATAATTATGTTACATCACCCGATTTATATATTTCAATAACTAATTTAAAAATTTATTTTATTATATTTTATTCTTTTTTATATAAATACTTCAAGTTCTTATAAATTTTGACTACTTGTAATTGGAAAATAACTTAATCCTTGTTGTTTTAAAAATTTTAACAAAGCAATACTTCCTGTTATTTATCATGCTAACTCTAAAGTATAGATATGTGTAGATATAAAGTGGCTTCCAAAATAAATGTATTATATATATTGTTAATAATTTTTTATATGTAATTTTTTTATTTGTAAATAAATTCAATAAATTTTTTTTTAAATAAATAATTTTTTATATAATTTATAAATTTTTAATTTAGTTCAAATATTTTAATTAACCAATAATACATGTTTCCAAAATTGATTTTGAATTTTTGAAGTATTTCGACTTTTTGAGATTTATGCAAAATCTATTTTATATATGGAAGTAAAAAAATATCCAGTTATGTATATCTTTAATCAAAGAATAAATCTGAGTGATCAAAAAATTTCAGGTTTTAAGTAAAATAATTTCATTTTCTATAAAAAACTATTTCGACTTTTTTTTCCAAAATTGTAATTTCAGAATCTCAAAATAATTTTGCATACAAGTACATAACCAATCATTAGTAATTATGTGATTTCCGTGAAAATCATGATGCATTTATTTTGTCACTTTTATAATACATTTATTTATTTATTTATTTTATTAAAAATTACAATAAAACTATTATTTTTTTTTTTATATTTTAATATTTACCATCTAGTATAATCTTCTAATACTTTTAAAACATCCTTTACTCTTTCAAGCATTAATTCTATTAGTTTAGTACATGTATCTTTTAAAGTTTCATTTCAAATTTTAGATACATGTTCCTATAATAAATCTTTACCTTTAATTTCTACATTTAATAACCTAAGACAATAATTGACATTATTCTAGAGATGTTCGATTGGATTAAGATCAGGTGACTGTGGCGACCAACTTAAAATATTGATTTTATTTTCTTCAAACCACTGCGTTATACATTTTGCCATATGTTTTGGGTCATTATCTTACTAAAAGATAATATTTTCTATTTCCAACCCATAGAATTCTAAGGTTTTTATAAAGTCTTCACTTAGAATTTTGTAATAAAGTTCAGTATCAAGACCTTTATCAATCCTATATAGGTATCCTACCCCTTTTGAAATGAAATATCTTCATATAAAAACACTATTACCTCTAAACTTGACTGTCATCAGTAATTATATTAATTCAAAAACCTTTGAAATTATATCGCAACGTTAGATTTCGAAGGTTATCGATTGTGTCGCAACCCTTCGAAATCAAAATTTAACGGTTAAATTTCGATACGTAATATTTCGTTATCA